TCACCATCCCAACACACACACACACACACACATGAAATACAGCACACACATACATATCAGAGCAACACTACTACATCTAGAGATGTCTACTCAAGAAATAAGAATGTTGCTTTTTTCACAACTTTACACCTGGCCATTGATCACAAGCCTCAGATATACATCCAATTTTTTTTTATGAAGAATTAACACTAACAGTATGGTATACATATTACTGGAGATTATTAGTCTTGTAAACCACAGGCTTACTAACATAGTGCACATTATTATTATATAGAGGCCATTTTAAGTCCTATTTTTGAGGGCTTAATACAATTATGTTTATTTACGAGAGTGACAACCGCATTCTACAACTGAAATTTTCAGGGCTCATATACGCATTTTCGGTGAGCTCATGCTGTGTGAATGGAACTGTACTGGAGTTGTCTGTTATGGTGTTCGAAAAGGACCCAAAAATACGACTTCCCTTTAAGCACTCGTCTCGCTGAATATGACGTCTGCATCTGCCATATGTAACATCTGCGTCTAAATTTGAATGATCTTGAATTTTAAATTATCTTAACTAAATGCCTTTCCCCCACTTGCCTCTATATATTAAAGGGATTGTCCTCTAAAAATTAAAATTTCTGTCATCATTTCATTCCAAATCTGTATGACTTTCTTTTTTTCCTTTTTTTTTTTTTGCAGAACAAACAGTTTTGGTTACCATTTACTTCCACTGTATGGACAAGAAAAAAATATATATACTGAAACATTTCTCAAAATATCTTCTTTTATGTTCTACAGAGAAAAAAAAGTCATACAGACCTAGGACAACATGAGATTGAGTAAATGATGACAGAATTTTAAATATATTGTCTAATAATTTGATTATGCTTTTAAGTACAAAAACGAGTATAAATCAGAATTCCACAGATTCCACAGAATTCTGCAGATTCAGACGGAACCTGAGAAAACGGTTTTGTTCCATTTCAGACCATCTACCCCAATCTCAGAGCTCATGGAGTATAAGTACGCTCAGAGATGGCTGGAAGAGCAGCAGGCCAAGGACAGAGCCCTACAGGCCCATCAGCACAAGAAGGTCTGTGGAGGATCTCACAAAACCACTTTAATATTAACCTTTGCTGCAAAGAGAAAAGTGATTAAGCTGTAAGCATCTACAGAAGCTGCCCCTTTTCTTCATAGGCTCAGCTTGGACGTATACAGGACACACGAACCAGCCTGCTCCGCAAGAGTCGGCCTTTGCCTGAGGCCCCATCCATGTGGAAACTACCTCGTTTTCAGCAGGTAAAAACGTAAAACACTCTGTAAAATCATATTTGTGGAAACTTCAAAACTATATGCATTATTTGTTGTATTTTTTCATTTAGTGGTTTAGTTGACTTACACTGAAAGGATAACCAGGATAAGTGTACTGTGTGTGTATACATGCATGAGAGAGAGAGTGTGAGTGAGTGAGTGAGTGAGTGAGTGAGTGAGTGAGTGAGTGAGTGAGTGAGTGAGTGAGTGAGTGAGTGAGTGAGTGAGTGAGTGAGTGAGTGAGCGTGTTTGTTTGTTTGTTTGTTTGTTTGTTTGTGGTCCTGGTAAACCCTACCTTATGGGGACAAAATGTCCCCACAAAGATGGCAATATCCAAAATCCGTGTGGGGACATTTTTTGGTCCCCATGAGGAAAACAGCTTATAAATCATACTAAGTGATGTTCTTTTGAAAATGTAAAAATGCAGAAAGTTTTCTGTGATGGGTAGGGGTAGGGTATAGAATATACATTTTTGTACAGTATAAGAATCATTATGTCTGTGGAAAGTCCCCATAAAACATGAAGACCCAACATGTGTGAGTGTGTGTGTTGTGACAGTGTCGTATAAGACACACTGAAAAAATCGGAAAAATCCATGCTGAAAGTAACAATATCTGCCTCAAGCCCTTACAAATGTTCACAATGTACACTAACCCCTTCAGTTTTGGTCCCTCTGCTAGCCTTAACGCAAAAGCACCTAGTAAATCAAAAGTGCTTTGTTTTTATTGGTCTTTTGCGTTGACAAGCACACTACCAACCTGACAGCTCTACCTGTCAGTGGTGCATAAATATTCTCCATTGACAATCCCCAATGCTTCCAATTATGAAGGAATCAGACTCCCGCTGAGCTAATGATGGCCCTTACACACATCCTAACACACCTTTACAAGCACTGACAGAACACCACAGTACATATAATGCACTAGCCACACTATTTATTTAAACAGGGCTCCAGACCACGATTAAAATAGTTGCAATGAATACAACAAAAATCATAAATTAGTATGTATATAAACCCAGCCGATAAAGCTTTGTGTTTTGTCTATATGAAGTTTCCTCTAGATATCATCTTGTTAAGAGTGTGTGCTGGTGTTTCTTGCACAAAACAACAAACACAGCGCAAGGCCTTCGTATGCCATTCATGGAAAAAATGACTCTTTTTAACGAGTCAGTTAGTTCTGATTTGAAATGAACTGGAAACCGGTGAAGTAATTTTCTTCACGTTTGTGAGACTTGTTATTGACGTCGTTAATGTGTGGAAATAAAGATATACATTCACAACAGAGTTTTGTTGGATAAATGAATAATTTGATTCTAAAAAACTTATAACAAATATCATTGGTTGAGAATAATATTTGTTGTAAAATCAAATTTATACTGTATTTAAAACCACTAAAATGTTCCTTCATCATAGCACAGAGAAGTAACTGTTGTTAAAAGCTCAATTTAAAAGCTTTGAGAAGTTAAAAGCAATTTTAGCATACTAAAAGAAATAAATTTGGCTCCTAAATATTTAATTTTAGGATCCAATGGCTACCATGTCATTTTTGGCTAAACATGCATATTATGCTTGTACTGTACATTGGTATCTCATACTGCTAGTTTTCCTTTTTAACTCTTTCCATGCACTGCTCGTCCATCCTGTTTTTCTCCTCTGTCTGAATATATCCTCTGCAAATTACAACCCCCTCCCCAACCACACGCACACACACACACACACACACACACTTCCCGTGGCTGCCTGTCCTGTCGTCCACCCTCAGTCGGCTCTAATGAGGGAGGGAGAGTGTTATTTTGGTTGCACGCCTGCACTAAATTCTCTCTTGTATGACAGCTGATGGAGAGAGAGAGGAGCGTTAACCTTATAAAAGATTTACCTCTGCTCATTACAGCCTGTCAAGTAGCTGTCCTGATAGCGCCAGGTTCGACATTTGCATCCTTGACTCTCTTCTTCATTCTACACTCATTTTCTTCATTCCTGTTGTTTGTTTGTTTGTATTGTCACCTTCTCTTACATCTCTTTCATTCCACCTTTCCTGAGACGTGTGTTCCTCCTATTTAATTCAAAAAGGTTTGGAGGTGTCAAAAGTGTTTGTGGGAGGCAACTGATTTTTTAGGGTAGAAAAAGAGAAAAGATAAACAAGTAAATATATTTAAAACATGATGTGACACACCGGTAAAGTTTCAGTGCATTTTTGCTGTTCTGAATCATGCCGTAAACATGAACTAGCGTTTGGAAGATTTTAAACGTATGAAATACATATTTGAAACCCCCCCGGCTTACATATCTGCAGTTTTGAGCCATTGTTCAAATCATAAATGTGCTGTGCCAACAAGTTCTATTATTTAATAGCTGTCAGTATACATTTTTACGTACCAGCTTAGATGCTACAGAAGTAAAACGTGGGCAAAGCGTCTCTGTGCTGCTTTTTATAGGGCTATGTTTTTTAATGTTCAACTATTCTGACTACACTTTTGTGTATCAAAACAGAATGTCTTCCATGTTCCAGTAGTGCCATCCGTGTTACTTTCCTCTGTCATTCATATTTTTTTTGTTTTCAATGTTGAACTGCAATAGGCCTCAATCTAAGATCTATCAATCTAAATCTCTAGGACAATTTATCAGATCAGATGATATTGCATTATCTTTTGCAATACATAAAATAAACGTGTATGCATATATATATATATATAGCATACCATTTATGATATATATAAAACGCACACTTATGTTTCTACCCAGACAGCAGTCTACTGAATATCATTGTGAAATTCTGTGTTGTATTCTGTAGGTGGGACCAGCTCTGGACACCTTTCGAGATCCTGAAGCCCGGAAGAAAGCCATGAATGCCCACTACTCAGAGTCTGCAAGCAGGAGAGGGATTCTGGGTCAAGGCACTTACACAGTGGATTAATAGAGCTAAGATTATTACATCTCAGCCTCTCTGTTTATAAGGATTCTTCTTGAAGTAATAATCTCCCAATAATAAAATTGACAAAATTTGTTCTCCTGTTTTTTAGTATGCATGTATGTATGTATGTATGTATAGTTTTGGCAAAACAAACACACACACAGGTTTTTTGAATATCTAATAAACCTTATGGATCTAGATATTTTTTATATTGGGACCTGGGATACCTGAGGGTTCAGATGGGGGTCTCTGGGTCTGTACATGCTAAAAAATAAAATTAAAAAAATGGTTTAGATGTTGTTCTGATGAAGAAGAAAAAAGAGAAGAAACTGTGGCAAAGTGCTAAATGTAAAATACAGCATCGTGTGCTGGATCCACGTCACGTATTGCGTGTCTGCGATTTATTTAGGACAAAAAAAAAAAAAAAAAAGGGAGGGTTGACTATGTTTCTCCCCCTCCCACAACACGTACGTGATCATCACCCCCCAAAAACACCCTTTAACCAATAACGACGTGGCGCTCGGGACAAACGCGGAATGGACACCTTTAAAAGCGTGTTCCTCCTCCGGTATTGGCTGTTTCCTTGAGGGTGTCTTTTTCAGGTCGTGGAGATCACTGCCCGTGTTTATACTCTGTTACACAGGTTTAGTCCTCGCAGACCTGGACTAGAACTTTACACATCAGCATCGGGTTTAGCTCAGACTCAGAGCATTAGGGGGTTATGGTTGTAGTTGTGCCTCAAGAACGCCAGATAAGTTTTCAAGCTAATGAATAGTTATAACGAGTGCTTACCGTGCTCTTATGTGCGGGTGAGTAGGTGTACCTGTCCTTGGTGCTGAAACTGACCTGTGCACTTCACGGATTCGCTTTTGAGGGACTGTACGAGAGCAGTTTCAACAATACTGAGCTGCAATCAAACACAGAAGAAGGATCTGGTAAAAACCACTCATTAATAGTGGACCTTTTTTCTGGGACAGTATCAAAAGGAGTTTGGAAGTCTTTTTCCCCCAGAATTATGATCTGATTTTACCGTTTTGAATCTGCAAATTTTCTCAGCTGCATCACCAAAACAAGTGTCTGAAAGGACAAATGCACATTTGATATTAATTTGACTCGCAATGGAGGTATCACACGGGTCGAGCTTTGGGATCGAGTCTATTCTTTCTCACAGACCTAGCAGTCCGTGTATGTCCAAGGGGGACTGCGGGTCTCCAGCGGAGTTGAGCCCGCGGTCGGACCTGGACAGCGGCTGCTCGTCGCCTCCCTCCCCGAGACGGACCTCAGTAGAAGACGCAGTGCAAAGACACGCTCGCGCTCTCGGACTGGACTCTCCTTTACAAATATCGCAGCAGCCGAGAACAGTCACGTCCTCGTTCTTGATCCGAGACATACTAGCAGACTGCAAACCTCTGGCAGCCTGTGCTCCTTATTCCAGCACTGGACAGTTAGCACAAGATGCTGAAGACTGTATGGACAAACTTCACAGCAATTCGTCCTCGGACAGTGAATACAGGGGTGAGACACTCTAAGCTTGTTTTTCATAAACACATCTTGCAAAGAAATATTGAAGCTAAATATATACTCAAAAGATTCCGAATAGAAACACAATTCAATTTTGTTTTTATTAATATTTCATATTCTTTAGATTATTTCATGGTTTGCTGTTAAAATTAATTGTGAGCTTTTACATATCTAAGAAATCAGGTAAAACATAAGTCTCTTATATATGGCTAAATGATTATGTTTAAAATCAAGATCTAAAATAAGAAAGAGGTTTTTATAAGAGATCACGAAGTAACTACGAATAAATAGGCAGCATTGCTGACACCCGTAAAGAAAAATACTTTCGTATTTCGAAAAATACTTTTTCATACTTTCGTTTTTGTTTCTCGTTGTTCCTCTAACGCAGTTCAATGTAATTAATTGTCAAGGTAAGGTATTTAAATGAGAAATTATCTCCGTTTTGGAGGTCACTTTAGTCGAAATGTCTAATGGTTTCAAAACCAAACAAAATTTCCCTGGTGATAGGCCTACAGATACAATCGAGAGGATCCGTGTGCTCTGATAAAGGTGTTTCATTAAAGAATTTTGGATTTGACCATCTGATGATAAAATGTGTAACCTAAGCGTCTCATAATAGATATCAATCCGCATTTCAGTCTCAAGTTCTCATTGCAGCTCGATTAAGCTGCTTTTTAAGTTATTTCAGTGCAACATTACAACAATATAGGCCTAATATTTTCAACAACAAAAACAGTTTTAGTGCTGTTGAAAATAATGTTAAAATAATTAAACATCAGGAATTGAAGAAATGGGGGAAAGGCAGTAAAACAAACACGCTCATTAAAAAAAAAGAAAAGAAAAAAAAGAAGCGTGTCTGTCAAAATGACAAATGTTGATGGTGTATTTGTTTTCAGTGAAAGACGAGGCTGATCGCGAAATTTCCAGCAGTAGAGACAGCCCCGGCTCCAGGCTGAAGAAGCCTCGTAAAGCCCGCACTGCGTTCACTGATCACCAGCTGGCGCAGCTCGAGCGCAGCTTCGAGCGTCAGAAGTATCTGAGCGTGCAGGACAGGATGGAGCTGGCAGCATCTCTCAGCCTCACTGACACACAGGTCAAAACATGGTACCAGAACCGCAGGTGAACATCTTGTGAAAATCATAGCCTATTTGATTTTTTATTTGATGTTTTTACAGTCAATGATACAGAAGTAGCTTATTAAAGAAGCTGACTATAGAGTCATAATGTGGACTGAAACATTTTAAAAGGTATACATATTGGCCTAAAAGTTTTATAAAAAAATAAAAATAAAAAAAACGAAAGGTTTTATATTTTTGAAATATTATTTATAGCTTTCATTATTATACTGTAAAATAATTGTTTGTTGCTGTCAAATTAAACCACAACGGGGAAAAAAGTTGTGCAAAACTACAACCTCGCACACCATGAGTCCAACACATTTAGTTATAAATAATAAATTATTGCATCGTGTATCAATAATTTAGCTTCCGAGTAGTAATTAAACAATTGCCAAAATTATTAATTATTTATCTGAAATGGCTCTTTGCTGAGTGACAATTTGACGGATGAGTGTTCAACAGGATATTACACGGATTCATCCTCGACGAACAAAACTTTCCATGAATCGGCAAATACTTGTTCACAGTTTACCAATTAACATTCAGAACACTAACTGCATGAAGGCGATGTTGGAATAGGCCAAGTATAGCATATTTGTAATATTTTTAATCATGTTGGTTTAAGACATTTTGGTTAGGCTACAATTAATTTTAAGGTGTCCGTGTTACAGTATAGGCCTATAAATTTAGCCTGTAAAAAAATATTTTCATGATTTGTTATCACGACTTTTTATCTTTTGTCAAATCAACTTATATAATTAATGTGGTTCAGATAGGCAGAACATAATATTTTGAGTTTCAATTTATTAAACCAATCTCCTTTGTTGCATTAACTCAATTGTAAGGCACTTTTTAAATTTAAACCAACATTTTTTTTATAATAATTAACTATCTAGCTACATGTTACTTGTTGGGGTTTGATTTGGGTTAGTTGCATGTAATTATGCATAATTTTTACTTATTACTACAGTAGGGGCAGGCTACTACAAGGACACTGTAAAATAAAGTGTTACCGACATTTTTTTTATTGGGCTACTATTGCTTTAGTAGCAACTTATGGCTACTAAAGTTGCCTTACTAAATATATTCCTTGCACCTTAATTTGTAAACAAGTTTTCCTAGGGTAGGCCTACTTTGCATGACCTGAACAAAACGTTCATAATATCAATTAATGTGAAAAAGTAAAAACCTAAAATACAGACACCTAAGGCTTTGTTTTATGGTTTTAGTGTCACATGACAAAATGGGTTCCTGCAGGTTAGTTAGGCTACTCCACACTTTGATCTGGCTTAGGCCTACATTTCTCCAAAAATATTTTATTATTATTATTGTGCTAAACTACGAGAAAAATTAAATTTTCTCCCCAAGAATTTCGGCCATTTATTGAGAATATTTTAAGAAAACACGAACACTATAATGTAGCCTAAATCAATGAAGCCTATGTTTGTTTCAAACAGAACGAAGTGGAAACGGCAGACCGCAGTTGGGCTGGAGCTGCTCGCGGAAGCAGGGAATTACTCAGCTCTACAGAGAATGTTCCCATCACCATATTTCTACCCACAAAGTTTGGTCTCTAACCTCGACCCGGGACCAGGGTTGTACCTCTACAGAGGGCCGTCCGTGCCTCCCCCACCGGTTCAGCGGCCTCTGGTCCCGAGGATCCTCCTGCACGGTCTTCAGGGCGCCGGAGATCCAGCGTCTCTCTCTGGAGTGATACCGAGACACACGTCGCGATGAACTGATCCAACCTGACAGCAGCTCCAACCTCAGGAACGACAGACAGGGTTGCGCTTGGACAATACCCGTGTAACTGAAAATAGAAACGCGCAATAATAGACTTTTCCAAATGACTCTGACCAAAAGGCGATTGCTAACTATTTATTAAACTTTAACGTGCGAAAGAAGTTATCAGAAAATTATTTGTTGAAGTTCCATCCCTCCATGAACCTCGATCGTGACTGTATTCTGATGAACTTGCTTTTCCCCTAAGAAATTGGGTGGTTTATTTGCACAAAATTATGACGCAAACTAACCAAAATAAACATCATAAAATAATTTAAGTCCATTTCAGTGGAACCATAGGCAATACTGAAAAACTGTGGATTTTTTTTAATCATTCTGCCTAATGTTAAAAATGCATTTTACGAACAAAAATAATAAAACTAAAATGACGGATTAACAAATGTTGTATAGCCTAACTGAAATGTAATTTGTCACCGATTATTGTGATGGTGGTTGTATTGCTGTGCGGCTGTTTAACAAAAAAAAGTTTCCTCAATGAAATTCACAGATCAGCGCAAAACATGGCTCTGCAACCTGTTTAGACATTTAAACTGTTTTTGTGGAAATAGTGTTGTGGTTATGGGTACTTTTCAACCCCAGTTCAACAGACGCCAAAATACTTTTCTAAATAAAAGACTGTGAATTTGTCACATATGACGGGAGTAATTTATTCTTCGATATCATCTTGGTCAAGCAATTATAGTATATTTTTTTGTGGATATATGATGCATAAAGTGGGCTTTAAAAATTAGCAAATATAATATCGAATTTGTATAGGCTAAGTGCATTAGAGCTGCAATGGAACAGAATAGGCCTACCCGACAGCCCGTGAACGCAATAAAAATGTCCAGTTTCCTGCGCTCATATTGCGAAACGCGAATACCACTTTCTCACAACAATCTGCATTTACGTCCACATTTACGTTTTTAATTAACACAAGCATACAAACTACTGCCAATGGAAACCTTTTGTGAGCCCTCTTCACAGGCGCTTCGTAAAGAGCAGTTCACCCACACCGAAATGAGAGTAGGCTAAGTGGTTTGTTGTGTGGGTTTAATTGACCAATAATAATAGGCGTTTCATTATTACAGACCAATCAAATTTTTACAAGAGGCTTTTACCGTAATAAAGCGACCGTGAAACGTAATATTCCAGTCAAATTTCTTTTAGGGCTTGCAGTGAAGACTCGGCCAAAAGACAGCAGCTGGTGACCGGGCGAGACAGACTCAACGCTTGGACAGCTGGTCAGCGTAAGCCTCCATACATATCCAGCCCTATTTACCTGACCAAGCCGAAATTCAAGCCAGGGAAACGATCTAAAAAGCCTTTAACAAAGACTATTTTTACGCGTAGTTCTTGTAACCTTGTGTACAACATGAAAAAGGCATGATTCTGAAAAGAAATTGGGTTCAATAGCCCAAAATCAAATAACAAACACGCATCAAATACAACTCATTTTTATGTAAAATTCAGTCTGTTTTACAACATTTTTATAAAACAGCTTAAGTTGGTGTACATCACATTGCTCAAATAGTCATATTTATGGCACCACATTTTTATAATAAAATTCACTGAGCAATAAAACATTCCAGATGCATTTCACTCCAATAGGCGTATTTTACCATCTGCATCAAAGCTTTTGCATGGAGCAGGTTTTCACACTGCTGCTGACCAGTCGTGCTTTGGTCCAGGTAAAAAATGTCACAGTGTAAAAACACCTGTGAGTTCAACCGTGAGAATCCACCTGCCACGAAGGCTCCGACCTCAGCACTTTCCGGCCGGAAAGAGCATCTCGGATCTCGCTCCTATATCTTCCACTTCATGCAGAGTCCTCTTCCTCTGCTTGACCTTTCTTCTTTTTCCTCTTCTTCATAGACTTGGATTCTCCCTCTATCCCACTGAGATATTCTGAGCGCATTAGGTTTGACACCCGCTCCTTTGATGTGAGTTTCTTGGGAGGCCTGAAAAACATTTAAATGAAGAGCTACTATCACTCTTATTAAAAAGCCGTTCCTCTCAAAATCAAAACAAAACAAATAAACTAACAGCAGAACAATAAACAAGCTCTTGAATTAACAGGAACCGTGTGAATTGCTCTAACCATTTCAAAAGCATTCTGAAGCACAATCTGAGATTTATCCTGTAAAGAGTGGAGGTAGATAAGAATCTGGCTGGCTTGAGTCTGGCTGAACAAATTTCCCACTGTCGTCAATAAAAGGCTCGTAGACAGCAGCGGGGGCCTGATGTAAAACTAGTGACTGTTTATCTAATCAATAACTGTGGAGAATGAAGCGGCGCTTTGCCCCCATGGGGCTGCTTAAGGATCCAATACACACACCTACCTCATGGTGACACACGACACACTCTACCCCCAGGGCTTAGAGCAGCTATGAGACAGCAGTTATTGTTCTTTTGGTCCCCGAGCGCTCTACAGGGACCCCTACAGGCGATAAGCAGGATGTATGCAGACATACACAATGGTGTATATTATATATAGAATGTCACTATATAGTATTTACACTTACAGAAAGACGTGTCATAAATATATGCCTCAGCAGCAGTGCTCCATCAGCTAGGTATCACAGAGTTAAAATCAGAAACCCATCAAAGTTCTCAGAAACAGAGAACGTATAGAGGGAGATCTGCAAGCAGGCCGAGCAACGAACAAAATGGAGTGAAATTAACAAAAGCGCCTGGCCACAAAGTGAATACTGTGGGGAGCAGGGCGAGGGCGAGGGCCGTGAGAGAACGGCGCGAGGCCGGTGGCGTGATTGATAATGAGCGACACCTGCGCGGCGCATCGGTCTCGTATCTCTCACGGAGGAGCGGAAGCATAAAGGAGGAGCGACGACAGTGACAAGAGAGGCCAGGCCTGGACTTGTGTATTTGTTTTATTATGCGTGGCAGCAGTCGTCCGTGAGGGGCTGCTGCCTTCACTTTCGTTTTGTTGTTTGGTTATTTTACGTTATTAAAGTCTTTGAATGCTTGCCAGTTCCCCCCGCCTCCTTCCTATAACAACGAACTTCATTACAAATACAATGCCCATAACTAACACCCTCAAAACTATTCACAGCCAGACTAGGAAGATGGACCAAATAACGACAAAAAGACAATCCTGTGGGACGTCCAGATCTACACACAGGGTTCCCATTCATTCTGACCAATGAGTCTCAATGATTTGTCCATGACTTTATCAGCCATTTATTATCTCTATTTTATAGATATTTTCTACTTTTGTATTTACTAATTGTAATTTTAGCAAAAATAAAAAAGCATATATATATATATGCACTACCGTTCAAAAGTTTGGGGCAGTAAGATTTAAATTTTTTTTCAACAAGGATGCATTAAATTGATCAAAAGTGACAGCGAAGACTATAAAAAACATAGCGCACAACCGCTTTCATCATTGATAAGAAATATTTCTTGAGCAGAAAATCAGCATATTAGAATGATTTCTAAATGGATCATGTGACTGAAGACTGGAGTAATGATGCTAATGAAGCTTTGCCATCACAGGAATATTAAAATGGTTATTTTTAATTGTAATAATATTTCACCTTATTACGGTTTTATATCAAATAATAGCAGCCTTGGTGAGATGCACAATATTATATAAAATGAGCAAATAAAATATATATATAATATATATATAATATATATATATATATTTATATTAACAACATCCTGCAAAAACAAAAAATAGAATTAAACCCTCAGAAGGATTGATGCGTGTGTATTTTTGGTTGCCTGTAATGGCCTCTCTTCTGTGTATCAGAGGTCTTTGTTGTTCAGTCACGAGTCCATAAATGTGTGTGTGTTTATATTGGTGTGATCTGCTCATTAGAGAAATCTTGTCTGGACATGGACAGTGTATACCACAGCCAGCTGTAATGAAGTCTCTCCTGACAGGACGGCTAGACTCGACTGAGACCGTAAGGCACAGCGCAGCACAACACAGCAATGTCACACACATGCACACAATTAGGCTGGGAATGGTAAATGTTAATAGGGCCAAAGCACTGACCAGTTAAGTTGCATCGACATAGTGCAGCATGAATATTCTATATGGAGTGATGGCTGGTTAATATAGATGTCAGCTGTCAGCTACGACGGCTGATAAGTTCATTACGGGTGTTGTCTGTTGTCTGGGCAGTGGAGAGAGAGTGTGAGATGCGTTTGGGCTGCTCTGGGGGCAGCTCCTGTGGGACTGACCTATTGTCCCGCTCCATGGGTTTCATTCACAGGTCCTGCCGAGGTCACCCTGCCAATTACTAGTGGTTAGACACAAGCTTCTCCCTATAGTGTCTGAGCCAGCATGTGGCACAAGTCAAAACTCAGCACTACCATAAAGAAGTGCACATGTACAAATGAAGCCATACAACAATGACTTCACATAAAATTGTGAAATTACAAAATGGATGAAATAAGCAGGGCTTAATTGAGGGAGCAACTGGCACCCAATCAAGGTTTTTTTTTTTAAGTTGACAAATTAAAGATTCGCTTGATAGATATGTTTTTAACAGTCACTGCTGTTTATTGTGATGACAGGATGTTTTAGTTTATAGACTACATCGATTTAAGTTAGTTAAACTAGGTAGTTTTTGGAGCAGATTGAATATAAATTTGTGCCATGTTTGGACCTCATAAATGAAATAACCAATAATATTTGTTTTTATCATATTGAAATGATTATTTATAAACCATATTTCCCATTGTGTATATACTATAAACCATATTTGAATTTATAAATGTTAACAAATTATTAAACAATCTTATTCATCATTATATTCATCAGTATCAATTCTAATTATTACAAAAATCAAACAAGCAAGAAAAACTATTTTAACATTCAGATATGTAGTTGTATAAATGGAATAACGGTTTTCTAATTTTATTATTGGTTATTGGGAGTATGTATCCTTATTTACCGGCTTATATAGGTCTCAAGATTCTAAAGTACAGTATATCACAGAAAGAGTTGGCAGTTTTTTTTATTTATTGAACATACCTGATAAATGACTGGTGGTTCAGTGAGGGAGCCAGCTGTGAAACAGTAACGGCTCTGAATGATTCACTGACACTGATGGAGTGAGTCTGACTTCAAACGGCCCACGAGCGGAGCAAGCGAGTTTGGAGCCATTTTGTGAATTTTGAGTCATTTATTCATGACTCGAACATTGTAACTCAAGCTGTGTTTGTAGTTGTGTAAAGGAAACTCTGGTGCGTGCTCTAATTAAATTTTCGTGAAATACTTTCCCGACTGTCTCGATTTGAAATTTCTGATGTACGTTTTCTCTCCAAAAATTTAAATAATAGCCTAAAGACCTGAAAGGATTTTTACCCTAATAGTTTTACATATTGAGAATGTTCACAGTGCCCTTCCGCAACAGAATACGTTTTTCTGTAAAGAACGACTATTGGGACTCTGTTTTCCAATTAAATAAAATGGCGCTACTCAATTAAATTTAATGTGTCACTAACCTTTGAGTTAAGCAACTTTAACATCAGTTTTACCAAACTGTACCTGACACCCCCTTCACAGCACAGAGACGGCACGTAGGGGCTTTTGAGCCTTTATCTCAAAGGCACACCGAAGAACAGAAGGTGGGATGAAAGGCAGGGAAGTAAAATACAGCAGAATACACTGACAATAACAGAAATGACAGTTTTGGTCTGACAAGAGAACTGTGATCATTGCATGCGCGGGTCAGCTATGAAATGCATGCTAAACCCTAAAGGAGAGCCCTGTATGTGAATAAATATTCTTTATTTAAAGTCCCCCTGTGGTGAAAATCAAGTTTTTAATGTTGTTTATAAGTCTATATGGTTATGAGTACCATATAGTAAATATATATATATATATATATATATATATATATATATATATATATATATATATATATATATATATATATATATATATATATATATATATAATATGGTTTAAGACAAACCATGTACAAATTCATAAGTCAACACCATTGCTGATTATTATTTTTTTTTTAAACTGCATAAGGACAGTCTCAAAAAAGTGGTTTGAAATCGCTGGTGTTTCTGACGTCACAAACTACCTTGTAACCAATCACGTCAAAGTGTGGATCGAGGTGGGGCTAATTAGCATATTCATAGAACCGCGTATACTAAATGAGGCAAGGGTGTAGAGTTACATTCAAGCTATTTTAAGGCATGAAGAATTTTTGTTTCCCAGGAAAAAAACATTTAAATATGTAATTTTGGTGATCATAGAGTTTTAAGGGATACAATTATTGACTACAGGGGGACTTTAAACATACACAACTGCACACGGATATAGAGCTCCTCCTCACTAAGTGATAGTAATGACGTTCAGGATGGTGTTTGGCTCTGGCTCAGTTTAATTAAGTGCCCTGCGGAGAATCTGACCACACACGGATGCACAAAGGTAGGCCTTTACCGACACATACACGCTCGAGGGCTAGTCCGGACATGGCCTTTGCTAACCAGAACCCACGCTTGCAGCACCACATTCAATCCTATGGGAAATGACCACTAATAACCCTGCAGTGTCAAGCATGAGCCAAACCTCATATTAATGCCTAACAACCATACTGTGATGTACTGGCTGTATCATCGGTACATAGTCCTCACCTCACCATAATCCTCACCATCAGATTCACAAATTACACCTACTTACACCAAAGACTGCTATCAGATTCAGTAAATCAGACCCGAATATAGTATGCATTGAAAGCAACAAAAACAGCTCTTTATAGAGGATGTCATATTCAATATGTTTTGGAAATAACACTGCAAGGGCGTCACAGCATAAAGGAAGTCGAGGGAAAACGAGAGGGGCGAGCGTATCAAAGGTGAAAGGTAAAACGTACAGCTGGTAAAGGCAGGACTTGACTAGTCCTCTTTGACCCTGAAGAGCTCTGCTACAGTGAAACACTTGCAGCTGCCAAGAGTGTGTGTGTGTGAGCTGTGGGCTTTTCTCCAGCGCAGCCGTGCTGGAAATTTTCAGAGCAGCCTTTACAGGACACTTACAGTAAAACATTATCCTACAAAATGGCTCGAAGGCATTTCTCTTCTCTTTTCTTTAAGAAGTGACACTAGATAAGTGGGTGAATGTTATAGCCAAAAAGGATATTGGTGGTTTCTCATATGTGTTTTGCTTAACACAAGCTTTATAGTCTTGCTAAAAAAAATTCAAAACTACTGGTACTTCGATGCCTTGTCGATATTAGAATAAATAAATTCAACAATTCCTTTTCACTCTCTACAGCATAAGCAGTACCATGTCTACAGACTCAGAATTGAGTTTTGCAGTGGCTGTGTTTTGAGTTCTCATTTTGATTTGAGAGAAGCAGATCAAGCATTTGTTTCTTTGTTGTTTATTCATTTAAAAGGACTGTGGCGAGGACGAGCAGAAGCATAAAGGAGGAGCGACGACAGTGAAGATTGAGAGAGGACAGGCCTGGATTTGTTTTTTATTTGTTTTATTATATGTGACAGCAGTCGTCCGTGAGGGGCTGCTGTCTTTTACTTTCGTTTTGTTGTTTGTTTATTTTATTTATTAAAGTTGTTGAATGTTTGCCGGTTCCCGCCTCCTCCTTCCCACAACATTTAACCTCGTTACAAGGACATTACTTGGAAAAAGCTAATACCTAGACTACATGCCATTGCTTTAATTCAATGTTGTTAGTACTTAATAGATAAATGTAGCTTTCATGACAGTCATAAGTTAAATAATGAGCTATATTCCCAATTCTATATAGAATTATGCACTTTTGGCCTAAAATAGGATACACTAATGTTCAAAAGTTGATCAGCAAGATTTTTTTTTCATGTTCACCAAGGCTGCATTATTTTGATAAAAAATACAGCAAAAAATTGTAATATTGTAAAAGAAGAAAAAAATAAACGATTACAATTAAAAATATTTGTTTTCTATTTTAATAACTTTTAAAATGGAATTTATTCCTGTGATGGCAAAGCTGAATTTTCAGCATCATTACTTCAGTCTTCAGTGTCAAATGATCCTTCAGAAATCATTCTAATATGCTGATTTGGTGCTCAGGAAACATTTATTATTATTATCAATGTTGAAAACAGCTGTACTGCTTAATGTTTATGTAGAAACCGTGATACAATTTTTTTTCTCCCAAGATTCTTTGATGAACAAAGTTCAAAAGAACAGCATGCATTTAAAAAAGAAATCTTTTGTAACATATTAAATGTGTCTTTACTGTAACCTTTGATCAATTTAATGCATCCTTGGTGGAAGTATTAATTTTGATAAAAGTATATATTTTTGTACTGACCCCTAACTTTCGAACTGTAGTGTACATGAGATTTGAGTTAAACAGAACACCTCCCTTTAATTAATAATAATTTATAAGTGAAATAAAACAGTGAAAAAAAAGACTGTTAAAGAGCTCACAAATATGAAATATTATGTGGGGAAAATATGAAAATGTTACGGAAGCCACAGAGAAAAATGTACCATCAAACAGAACACGGCTAAATTTATCTAAAAGAAGAACTAGATCATATTATGGGGCACCGCAAACTGTTTGACAGATTCATAAATTACTGTCCAATTTCTAAAAACTTGCAGTACCTCTTTGCTTTGTCTTTGCCCTTCTTGGAGTCTTTGCTGTTGGTAGGATTAGTGGTTATGGAGCTGCCCAGCCCCTGGGGTGCGTCCCTCAGGCCAAAGCTCTTAGCGGCGTGGCCCAGGTGCAGGTTGCGGATGTGGAAGACGTGTTTCAGACTGGAGGGGTATGTGGTGTATGCTCTTAGGAAAGACTGCAGTGCTACAGGACCCAAATAATAAGGGGGCATTTAGAGCACAGGTAGCAGACATTTCCAAGCACTTAAATGGTTTTACTTGCAATAAAGGACTCATTTTAACACCAATTTAGACCCTGTGTACACCTGGTATTAAGATAAGTTTTGGTCGATCGGATCATAAGTGGATGATGCTGAATACAGGTGTAAACGGGGTCTATAACTTTTTGAGCTTGTCCACTTTCGACCACTTCCATAGGTAGTCGAAAACGCATTTGATCAGATTGCTTTCATAGTGTAAACGCTCATGTGGTCGAAACAGAAACAAAAGACCGCCTACTCTCCTCCTTCTGACCTAATGCGTAAACATTATGGGAAGTGCTCTAGCCAGACAGGATTTAAACTTTGTCAGCTGAAGACCCAAGTTTGGTTTGAAGACGAAAAATGTATCAAGCACAATGTTCTCTCACCATTCCTGATTTCTAACACACACTCACGACGTTCTGCGTGGTCTTGTGGCTGTCAGAGCAGAAACTAAAGCTGCTGATCTCTGTATGTTTTTTGGCAGTGTCTCCGGTCGCAATCATATGTAAATTCCATGAGCTTATTTCGTCCGGGGGAAAAAAAACACCATACATAGTACTTGTGATCCGATCGACCAAAACGCATCTTAAAAACAGGGCCTTAAGGCTAATGATATTCCTTAATTATAATGAATTATTAATTACATTATTATTTTTTTGTTCATAAATAAAACATTTTTATTTAATATTTTATTGTTGTTGTATTATTATTAAAACATTTAATTGTTCATTTTATTAAATACAAATCACAATTGCAATAAAGGAATATTATTGATGAATAATTATGATATAGAGGTTAAATCATTGTCAAATATTTTACATTTCTTCTAGGTAATGAAATGTAGCTGGGCTGCAAAGCTGTAGAACAAAATATCAGTTTAACACAATAACCCTGCATGATAATTAGTTTTTCATCTTACCGCTCTTCGCAGTTTGCAGAGACTCATTATTGGCATGAACATAATTCTCAAAGTCAGTCTGTAAAACGGTGGCTCTCTCTCGCACCTCCTGCTCAAAAGCAGCGGCTGATCTCTGCAGTCATGTACAAAGAGGCACACATCAAAGATAAACAACAGAAGGAAAAAAAATCACATTTTATTACATTAAAAGCCAATAAAAAAACAAGAGCAACATAAATGTGTTTGGTTATACACACTAATGACATCGCCCCTCCCCATCAATGACCTTTGACCCTCAAATGAGGCTGCTAACAAGGGGGGTGGCATGAGTGAGGATTACAACCAGCTGATTGGTGCTGGGAGGGAAAAGGACATTAAATCAGGATTAGGACTGACTGAGCGCTGGCAGAAACATTCGCTTATTGTTGTCAGAAGGCTCTCATTGTCGAGAGAGGGGAAAAAAAGAGATAAAGAGAAAGCCATTCTTCACCCACAGCTGTTCTCTAGACATGCATTTTCAACAACATGTGATCTTCAACCAAGTTAGGAAAGTAATACTAGTTTTGCAAGGGTCAGGATCACCGTTTTTAAGGTTTAGATGTCAGAAGTTACCTTACTGTCCCATTTCCCTCTGCCTTTGAAGCGCTCATCCTTTATCAAAGTGGCCAAGATGTCCACCATCTTCATCTCTGACAAACTGAGGGAGAGAGAAGCCAAAAGGTTTAGATGCATATTATAAAAGAAAATATTTATCAATGGGGGGAAAGAATTGCACCAACATATTCCAGACTGTGAGTTTCCTACTTTAGATAGTTCAGCTCAACATATTGAGCTTTGCTAATGCTACCAAACTCCTTCCGCTCATCCTTTAGTACTGTAGACTGTAATGTGAGCCAAATATGATAGTGCTTGTGCCAGCAGAACAGATTCATTCTGCTCTCATGCAGAGAGACTGAGAGTGTGTTTTCTCTCCACACTGGCTTCCAGTGCCGAGATCAGCATAGAGTCATCAGTCCAGCTCTTGACTGTTATATTGTGGGCTTTGGAACAGAGACAAGACCATGTTTGACCATCTTTTATCACAAAGTCAGGGACTGGACACATCAGACAGGACCTGCCCCACAGTCCCCTACTGCTGTGTCGGAGTTCATCGAAAAATGATCAGTAAATCTGATATAGATGAGACGCCAGTCAGCACACCTGATGTTGTGATTGGCCAGCACATCCACAAAAGCAGTCTCAGAGGGGGTGAGGAACAGCAGGCTGCTGCCCTGAGCTCCAATTCGTGCCGTCCGGCCCACGCGATGAACATACTCCGCAGCGGAAACGGGAGGGTTGTACTGCAAAACAAAAGAAGATATTCATTTAGAAGAACTGGAAATTTGAATTAAGTTCAATTCTAGAAATGTTTGTTTGTTTGTAACGCAATGCCAGCTTCGGTGGCTATTTTCATGGCGAGAAATTCTAGTAGCAAAACTGGCTAAATTGTTTGTTGTACACTGGTGATTATGCAAATGACAAGATTTTACACATGAAGAAATCTAACCTGTATAATCCACGTAACCTGAGGCAGATCCAATCCACGTGCAGCCACATCCTAGAGGGAAAGTAAACAACAAAAACACATTTAGATATTAATCTAATTAATCTATTTAACCATTACCTCAAAGCATCTTGTTAGTCTAGAAAAAACTCAATAGGGAAATGTGGAACCGGTGTTATTAACTATTGAATAATTAAAATAAAGTTGAAGTTAAAAACAAATATTAGATGAAAAAAAAAATTACAAAAATTGTGATTCACTCTACTGAATTTACTGTATTAAAGCCCCTATACTGTGACGTCATTTAGAATAAAATCAGGTTTAAAATCAACCTGATTTTAAATCAAGTTAGTTTGGTGTTCATTTTAGGAGTTTCAAACACCTTGCCAAAGCGAAGTTCGCTCCAGCTGGTAAACACCTTCAAACTACCATTGGTCTGTGGTGATTATGTAGTACAGTAGGTAGGTGTGCTCTGTTCTTTGATGTGGAAATCTTATCCGGTTAATTTTTTCTGTTCAGTCCGTCATAGTAAAAACATGAACACACTGGAGAGCTGCTTTATAGTAAAAAGTAACTGAAGATGTAATTTGAACTGAAAGAGACACCTCATTTGAACATTACTCAATCTTATCTCCAACACTCAACCTCAACTAGCCTAAACCCTAAGTTGGGGTGTCTGGAGTCTATAGCTCTAGAGCTGATACAGATGGATCCAACACAATGCCATGCCAGGCTGTCAGCAGGAATAGGAGCAGTCATTTACTTCAGGAGCCTTTCTGCAAAGTGACAAGATGGAGGAAAAGGAGGTGGACGGAGGGAGATGCACACACCTGCACTTAAAACCTTTGTATATCAAATAACCGATTATATCTACATTATATCAATGCATCAATGAGGGATAATTGTGGGATTGCAGATGTCACAAAGAAAGAAGGGCAGTTAGATGTGTGGAGGGAATAATAATAATAATGTATTCCTAGAAACTGTGCAGGTTGGTCCTCAAGTATGCACACACCTGGTTGGGAATCACTGCTTTAGATTGCAGTCAAAGTCAGTTACCATACAAATGGCATGAAACTAAATGACTTACCGTACACAGTAAAATTCCAGTTTTACACTGAGAGAACTCCTGGAACATCTCAGTGCGTTCCTGAAGGGAGAGAAACAGACAAGTTAAAAAAATAAAAAAATAAATATAAAAAAGGGTATAAAAGAGAAACACGAGCTTAATTTGTTGTATGAGACATTATCACAGCAAAATATGTATCTGCACTTGTCTCAGAACAAAAGATGAGGTGGAAACACAGATAAGAGCCCAACTTAAAATGGGATATCCGACAGACCCTCTCTTTTTCAGCATGGAGCACAATCTGTTGTGTGCTGGAACAGCTGCCCGTCTCCTGCAGTTCGTCTCATCGGAGGAGACGTCCAGAGCTCAGCCTGTGCTGTCCCATTACCAAACCCATCCATAACACTCTACAGGCCAGCACCACACCCAGACCTGCTCTCCCATACATCTGACCAAGAGACTCCCGAGTCCCCTGCCCTACCAGTGCCATATGGGCGACCTACGGCAGCTCCATTTGTGTGGGGGTGAGGGTGCAGGCTGGACAGTGGCAGGATGCAGTTCCCCTGACACTGCCACAGGGCACCGACTGTGGCTGTTGCCTGAACGCCAGCTGGCAGAGTGCCAGCAGACCCCACTGTTCAACCAGACCATGATGGTTTAACCCAGTGTCATATGCTGCTAGTGCTTCTGGATGCTTTTAAGAGACATTGTCATTTAAAAGAAAAGGAAAGTAAAATCGGAATATTTAATTGCTAACTGAATAACAAAACTGAGGCAATATACTGTCCAAGCAATGCTTCTACTAGCCTTCAATGTATAAAAATGCAAAATAATTTATTTTTGTATTTAAACATTAAATATAAAACTGTTTGGAGGTCAATGCCTTTCCAGAATGACCAAGACTCTTCCAGTTGTTCTTGATTCATGGATGATTTAAAAAAAAAAATCTTAAAGTGATTGGACTCACAAAAAGCAATTTCTACCCAATAACATATTTTAGTGCTTTGCATAACTAGAAACATGTATATTCATTATAAAAATGTACATTCATTTAAGATTTTATTACTTTGCAGGCCTAAATATCACACTTTGAAAATTCACTGATATTTTCAAGTTTTTCATGACCGTGGGGACCCTGATATATTCACAGAAAACTAAAAATACTTTCTACTGATATACATTAAAGAGAATATATTATGGAAAATAGTATCTACTATACCGTTCAAAATTTCTATTTCAAATAAATGCTGTTCCTTTAAACTTTCTATTCATCAAAGAATCCTGATAAAACATGTATATTTCCACAAAAATATTAAGCAGCACAACTGTTTTCAGCATTATTAATAATAAGAAGAAATGTTTCTGGATCAGTAAATCAGAATGATTTCTGAAGAATAGTGAAGAAATTTAAAAAAATAACTGAAATGAAAGAACAGAAATTATGTAGTGGCCAAAAATACATTAAATCAGAACCAATTTAAAGGTGTTCAGAATTGTTCATCATTTCACATGCAAAACAGTTAGTCACTTACAATAACCAATTTTTTACATACGTAAAGTCAAGAGTTAAAGACAAAGCAGCAAAAACTAACAGTATAACTGTAAGTGTCCTATGCGGGAGTTAATGGTCTAATACACTTGGGTGAGAATTAGCCTCTTTAAAACCCATAGCTGTTTTCTGGATTGGCACATGTCGTCTCACCTCCTGTCTCATGCTGCCGTGGAGCCTGTAGAAGTTGAGGTATGAGGTACGTTTGGTTGATGTGGTGCTGGGATTCTCACAGAGGACTGCAGTGAAGAGAGTGAGCAGGAACTCTACAGCCTCACAGCTGGATATGAAAACGATCAGCTTCTGCCGCTGCTCAAACTATGTACAAAAACACAGCAACATACATAAGTCCAGAGTCAGCAAGGTATGCATCTAATGTGCAATGTTACGAGCAAATGACTTTCTTGGTTACTGTAAACTCTAGCAGTAATAACATAGTTGGTTATCAGTTAAAATAGCTGAGAATTAAGACATTTTGGTAATTACACAAACACTACTGTTCAAATGTTTGGGGTCAGTAAAATAAGAAAAAAAAAGAATACTTTCATTGAGCAAAGATGCAGAGATCAAAAGTGAGAGTAAAGATATTTATAATGTTAAAAAGATTTGGATTTCAACTAAATGCTGTTCTTTTTAACTTTCTATTCATCAAAGAATCCTGTAAAAAGATTCCAAAAACATTAAGCAATATCAATATTTTTAATATGAATAAGAAATGATTCTTGAGCATCAAATCAGCATATTAGAGTAAATGGTAAATGGACTGCATTTATACAGCGCTTTCAGACACAATGGCCACCAAAGCGCTTTACACATTGCCTCACATTCACCCATTCACTCACTCATTCATACACCGACGGCGGTGTCAGCCATGCAAGGCGCAAGAGTAATTTCTGAAGGATCATGTGACACAGTAGATATAGTATTCTGTATTTTTGATCAGATAAATGCAGCCTTGTTTATCATAAGAGACTTCTTTCAAAAACATAAACAGTATTGTATATTAGTAGGTAGCATAGTTTTTTTTAAATGTCTTGTCAGTATCTGAGGCCATCTTCATGGCAAAAACGGAGTTACAAAAATACAAAAGTTGCATAAGTACAATAAAACAGCAATTATACAAGATGTTTTACTTTTAAATATGTAGTGTATATTAGAAGGACAAATAACTATATATAAAGGGATCATCTAAAACAGCTCCAGCTTTCTTCACAACTTTGGCAGATTATAAAACGTTTGAATGATTCACATTAGTCAAACTGAAATGACACGAGGTGATCTACAGCATAACACATTTATGTTATGGTTTTAACATATGGTGTGCTCTACCTTGCATTTGGTCAGAATAAAGGCAGCCAAGCAGACCAGGTGGAGTTTGCTGGGCACCACCACCACATGCTGCTGCAGTCTCTCAGGAACCGCGTAACTGTCTGACAGAGCCTGAGGGGCCGCCTGGGGACACGCTTCAACTGTCTCCCCACTCCCCTCTGACACATGGATACTCACAGGCTCCTTCATACTGATACTGGCTAATCGGGACAGTCCTGGAAATGCAGAGAACAGGGTCAAAGTACATACATAGATAGTCACCAAAAATGCTTTTATGATCAAAAATGTTGTAAGAGTAAGACGTTTTTGTGACGTAGTGCTGCCTAAAACTGAAGGGTGCTATAAGAGGCTCAAAAACGTTCAGTTTTCATTGGGATAAAGAGCCTGTTTTCTCACGCCAAGCAGAGAGAGACTGGACCTGAGAACCAACAACTCCTGTCAGCTCCCAGTCTGCTTCCACTAGAGTAAAGCAAGTATGGTACCTCCCACAGTCTAAAGTGAGCGCTTACGCCATTGTCTCACTTTATAGCCAGACACACTCTCTCATTATGTGACAGTGATAGTGAGCGGACGCTGAGCTTACCCTCGGTGAGTGTGGCTGAAAGCAGCACATTCTGTCTGGCAAGTCCAGTGGCGTTCAGAGCATTCAGAATCAGAGTCAGATCTTTCTCAAAGCCCAAATCCAGAGTCCTTCAGTACAGAACACATATAATGGTAAAATCCACATCATACTGATACACCTGCAAAATAGGCTGCAAGAACTAATCGATACAATTAGGGATGCATGAAAATGAAAATTCTGAGCCGAAATCGAAAATGTATAGCCAAATAAAGTATAGTCCAACAAGCCTATTACTATCGGAGCATGTAAGCACAGCGCAGCGGGGAGCGGACCAGTGAACTTGTTTAAAGCACATAATGTCATTCTCGGTTCAAATCAGCAAACACACTGACCTGTCGGCTTCATCCAGAATGAGCCAGTGCACAGCACTGAAAGCTATACTAAGAGTGTTCTTGATGTGGTCCACCAGTCGGCCTGGGGTCGAGATCAGAACATTAATGCCCTTCCTCAGTCTGAAGTCAACACAGAGACAAGCGCAGACTGAAGTGACATTGCAGAATGAAATACACACTACCGTTCAAAAGTTGTGTTAGGTCGGTAAGACTTTAATCTTTTTAAAAGAAGTCTCTTATGCTCACTATGGCTGCATTTATTTGATCAAAAACACAGCAGAAATAGTTATATTGTGAAATATTATTACAATTTGAATGAACTGTTTTCTATTTTAATATATTTAAAAATGTAATTTATTCATTTAAGAATCATGTGACACTGAAGACTGGAGTAATGGCTGCCGAAATGACAAAGCTGAATTTTCAACATCATTACTCCAGTCTTCAGTGTCACATGATCCTTCAGGAATCATTCTAACATGATGATTTGCTGCTCAAGAAACATTTCTTAAGTTATTATCAATGTTGAAAACAGTTGTGCTGATGGGATACATTTGTTTTCAGGATTATTTCATGAATAGAAAGTTCATAAGAACAGCTTTTATGAGAAATATAAATATTTTGTAACATTATAAATGTTTTTGCTGTCACTTTTGATCAATTCACTGCATATTTGCTGACTAAAATTATTAATTTCTTTAAAAAAAAGAAATCATACTAACTTTTGAACGGAAGTGTATTTGCAGTAAAGTTGAAATCTATTGAAAATGCATTCATAATAATGATATAATGAACTCTCTCAGACGATGCATTTTGTGTGTGTTTGTGTTTTTTTTTAACCTGGCTTTTTCTGCTTTCCTTTTTTCTCCTCCCATCAGAACTCCTGGCACGATCCAGGTGAAAGGCTGAAAGGAATAAGTACATTGAGTGAAGATTAATTTGATTTACATCAACTCAATTACGTCAATACAGCATTTTAATTTAGCGAAAATACAAATTCTCACTTTTAGAAGCTTCTGAAACATCTGAAAGCTCTGCAGGGCAAGCTGAGGGACAACCAGAGACAGATTCATGTTGGAAGGCAATAAAAAAGGGTATATAACAAGAGGAAATATATAAGTGTTCATCCACAAGACAAATGTTGGTGGTTTTGTATTAATTAATACAATACCTCTCTGGTTGGAACAATCACAACAGCTAAAGGCCCATCTGATCTCTGAAAAAGTACATTAAGCTTAATTTATAATATAAAAGAAGTTGTTGTACATGACTACAAATACATTATTAATGGTGCATAATCTATTTTATTGGTAACATGTTCAATCTGACTCTAATTTTGCCAATTTATTTGAATGTATATTGTGTACTTTTCTAACTTTCATGTATTTCTAGTATTGTACGTTATGTGTGTGATGTACAATGTTGAATGTATGACTGCTATGAATAACCCCAATTTCTCCACACAGGATCAATAAATGACATGTCTTTTTCAAAATAAACAAATGTATTAATTTCAGCCAACTATAATAAAACATAAATTAAGAATGATTATGTGATCAGTCAGTAAAGTCCTGATGTTGAGTGTGCTGTTTTAGACATTCGTTGACTCGCCTTCACTTTAGGTTGCATCGCTTGTAAGAACTGAACCACTGGAATTCCATATGCCAATGTTTTTCCTGTACAAGGCATATAAATAATCACATCTTTTAAAAAATAATTTTCTGATTTTGTGTTCTTCTAACTCTGTATATCATCTAACTTAAACCCTTTTGTGATTACTATTTTTTACAGCGCCAAGAAATAACACAACTGTCGAGTTAGTACTGCATGTAGGATTGTTGTAAATGGCATGACTCATGAACTGATCATTATTGGTGTATTTATTGCATTTAATTTAGTAATTTTAATATAAAAAACTCATTAACACGAAAGAGGCCAGAAATCCCACCTGATCCAGTCTGTGAGCGCACGACTGCATCTTTACCAGATATCAGCACTGGTATGGTTTGTTTCTGGACACTGGACACACAGATGAAAATGGGAAAAATGACAAGAGGCAGAGGAGGAGGACAATACAACGATGAGATGAAGCTTCAGTACCTCGTCATACTGGTCACATTCAACACCTTATGGAGCGTTGCCACCTGTGAAATTGTTTAGATGAGAAGAAGGTATAAGACTAAAGATAGGATAAGCATTTCAGTTGAGACATTTGTTAGGAGATATTGAAGTTTGTTCTTACCAGATGAGGATGTAGATTTAGTTCTTCAAATGTGTTGCTGGTGAAGACTTTCTCCTTTACTAGATTTACAGCAGGACTGAAAGGAGAGAAAAAAAAATGGCATGGAAAGGTCAATATTGAGAAAGACCTGAGTCCATTTACACAAGCTCAAATGTGTTGCATCTACCTGAGGACATCAGGGATCTCTGGGTTGTTTCTGAAGAGAGACGATGTCTTGATAAATGGTCTGCCATGGTCTCCATGCTCTTCGGGAGCTTTCTTTGGAAATGTTTTCACCTTTGATGGCGACTTTGCTGCAATGATTTCACTATGGTCTCCGTTCTCCTCTGTGTATCTATTACTCCTCCGAGAGGGGCTTTTGGGGGTTTGCAGCTTTTGCTTGTGTGTGTGCTGTTGACCAGTTTGATTAATCTTCCTCTGTTTGGAGGCGCTGCTCTCTTGGGGCTCAAAGACAGCCTTCCTCTTTGATTCTAGCTTTTTCTGTAACATCAATACAGACAGTACAGCACTTCACTTCACAATCAGGCTGAAAATAAACTTGTGTGTAAAGCAGAGTACATCAGTGAGTGATGAAAATGAAAACAGAAGGTGCAGGACTGACTCACCTGTGCCCATTTCTCTGCTGATGTCAGATGACTTCGGTCTGTCTTTCTGTGAAACGTTACGGGATCTGAGGAGATGTTGAGCATTAGCATGTCCTCAGCCATGTCAGTAAGCAGGAGACTTTTTAAGACGTGGTGTAGTACCTAAATAACTATTCTAAATCCTCACAGATACCCGACTTCTTCCAAAATGCTAAATGGAGTATTATCCTTCGTTTGAATAGCAGAGATGTCAGTTCCAAGCTAAACGCGAGTGACGTTAACTAGTAAACACTAAATAACAGAACATAAACAGCTGTACATCTACAGAGTAAAGTTTCACACGTGTTTTCCACCGTCCACTACAACGTGAGGAGATTTCCGGGTAGTGACGTTACCAAAATAAAAGTCCCGCTGCATTACGCAGGTTAACAGTCTATGGTTAAAGCAATGGTTTTCAACTAGTTGACTGTCCATCACAATATTTGATGCCTTTCATATATGCTATAATATTTCGTCCGGTATGTTCTGCTGTAAAAATGACAAAGCTGCTGGTTTTCAAACTTTTTTTTATTAATAGAAATAAATAATTAACCACAAGAGCTGTTTTCTTAAACTAAAATTTTGTTAAATTTGTTTTGATTAAAAAAATATCAGAAAACCTTTTTTTACATAAAGGTTGTTTAGGAACAATTCATTAATATATTTATTTCAAATATATATATTTCAAATATTCGGTTTACACATTGTCTATTTTAGCATTTTAATTCATATAACTTAATATAAATCCTTTTAAGTCATCCTGCTGCCCCCTTAGAAGTTTTGCTGAGGACTCCTGTTTGAAACCACTGTTTAAAATATTATAAGAAACACCTCCTATCTTAAACCTCTACCATAATTATCCTTATTTAAATTCTTGTATTGTTTTCTCTTTTCTCTACTTTTCTTCATAGTTACTTTCTTCTATTACTGTAGCTTACTTTTAATTAATACAGAGTGTTAGGAAAATACTTGCCTGTTTCCTGTTAAAACTTCCATTTTGATTTTGACCCTGGACCACAAAACCAGTCAAAACCAGTCAATTTCTTAAAATTGAGATTTATTGAGATTATCTGAAATCTGAATAAATAAGCTTTCCATTGATGTATATTTTTTTAGGATAGGACAATATTTGGCAGATATATAGCTATTTGAAAATCTTGAATCTGAGGGTGCAAAAAAAAAAGTGAAAATTGAGAAAATCGCCTTTAAAGTTGTCCATTTATGAACACAATTTGCTGCATCCACTCACAAAAATATATATTTTTATATATTTATGGTGGGAAATTTACAAAATATATTCATGGAATATGATCTTTACTTAATATCCTAATGATTTTTGGCATAAAAGAAAAATCGATAATTTTGACCCATACAATGTATCGTTGGCTGTTGCCACAAATATACCCGTGCTACTTGTGACTGGTTTTGTGGTCAAGGGTCACAATTGTGAACTATGTGCTATTTGCAAAAGACAAGACGTGTTACAGTGTATGTCTGTGTAAATTTTACAATGTAAAGATGTGCTGTTAAGTGTGATTCATCTGCACATTATGTAAAGCTAAAATGTGAATCTTTCTAGCAATCTTTGTTTAGAGAATAAAAAGATTAGGGTGCTACAGAACCAGAGAGAGCTCAGGGAATACTTTCTCATTTAGACGCATTTCATTTTTGAAGCCTCCTCTCCCTTTGGATATGCACTGGGCCTCGTGTTTACATATTCAGAGGAGATGCATATTCTGGACCTAATCTGCTATAATTAAGTCAGTGGCTGCCTGTCATAGCATACTATCTGAGGGGAATTTAAAAATCAGCCTGTTAACATGTTTCACTAACCAGTGTACTTAACTCCTTTCCTCCCTGTGGGAAACATCAAGTGACCTCAAAGAAAGGAAGAGAGAAGGAGAGGGAATTTAATAATCAAAGCAGCATCGACTGGTTTCTTGAGCATGAGACCACTGAAGTGGGACTAATACTGCCCACCACAAAGGCTCTGGCTGGTCTGCTTTTTCCTGTTAGGTTAATTAATCATACGTCGAATTACCAGGTGCCATGCACTCCCATGAACTCACACACAGTCAGACGGCAAGAATGACGTTCGATGATGTATTAGGAGACATGTCAGTGTTCATTAAAATATAAGATATAACTATGACCAAGAAAAGAGAACTAAAGTCAAATTTAAAAGAAATTTATTAAGTAGCCTTTCAGATGTACAAATGACCGGAGAAAAATAAAAGCACAACAAACAGATCTAGAATTTGCATTAAAGCTGTGTATGTTTAAAGGGATACTCCATCCAAACATAAGAATTCTCAGATGTACATGACTAACTTTCTTCTGTGGAACACAAACAGAGATTTAAATGCAAGCTGATGAGTCCCTCAAAGTTGATGGCTCAAAAACCATGCAAAACTAACACAACGGTAATCCATACAATGGCAGAGGATGAATCAATGTCTTCTGAAGCAAAACGATATGTGTGTGTAAAAAAACTACTATTTTAAACTTTTACACTATAAATCATTGCGTACGGTCAACTGTCATATGAGTCCATGCTTGACACAAATGCCAGCATGCTGTAAACCATGATGTAAGCGCATTGTGAAACTCAAGACGTGACGTTATCTGTGTTTCCACATGATTTCTTGAGTTTTACAACGTGCTGACGTTATGCCAAGCATTGACAGTTGGCCAGAAGGGATGGTTTATAGCGTAAAAAGTTAAAAATATTAGTATTTTTCTTACACACCCATCGTTTCACTTCAGAAGACATTGATTTATCCACTGGGGTCGTATGGATTACAGTCGTGTTTGTTTTGTGTAGGTTTTGAAGCGTAAACTTTGAGGGACCCATTCATTTGCATTATGTGGCCTCAGAGAGATTGATTATTTTTCTAAAAATCTCCATATTTGGTCGACAGATGAAAGTCATATACATCTGGGAAGGCATGAGGGTGCGTAAATTGTGAGAGAATTAAAATTTTTAGGTGGAGTGTCCCTCAAACGATTAGCCCTCAAATGTTTCTCGGTTAGACAGGACTTTGGGTAGTCGGCCCACTAGCCTACTCTCCAGTGACTCAAACACGGTGTGTGGGTCCTGGTCAGCATTGATATACACTGCCTGTGGGTAAAAGGCCTGCAGGTCCACTGCATGGCTCCAGTACTCCTTAAGCCTTTTTAGCAGCCGTGCCTCTGAATTCCTCGGGTCAAACTGAAGCCGGGCCTGCACTTCTGGACCAGGGGCGGGTTTATACACGGTGTGATACCTGCAGAGTTCAAACGCAACATTCAGAATGCATTTATGCTTTTAGTTGAACCTGAAGGAATGGTTTCTTTACATACAAATTTACAATTTGCTAAGCAGAAGGTCCTTCTCACCATTCTCCAGTCACAGGATCCACACTCCTAAGTGTTACCCTCTCGATAGCAATGTCATCAGTCATCTCCAGGAAGAAGACTCTAGAGGGGACAGAGGCAGAGATCATGTGGAAGTCTGTCATGATATCTGTTATTCTCTCAAATCGCCTGAGTAAAGATATTGCTTGGTAAAAATATTATATACCACACACACAAAAGGCACTATGGTCTTATAAAGACTGATGCAATTTCATTCAAATATCACAAAAACCCACAAATAAGCTTGGAAACTGGATCCATTAAAGAGAGAGAGAGAGAGAGAGAGAGAGAGAGAGAGAGAGAGAGAGAGAGAGAGAGAGAGAGAGAGAGAGAGGGAAGGGAGGGGTCAGTGTAGTCCAATAATAGAACAATGACTCTTATGAGTCTGTTATTTTTAATGAATCAAAAAAGAATTTAATCAGTATAATGTGACTCCCAAATAAATGTTTTTAGAAAATCAACCAAAATAGCTTAACTAACCGTAAAACCAGTCATATAGTTAAAGATAAGCATTATGCGTTTTGTCAGTGGTATTTTATAAAATAAATGAATGCAATATTCTACAAAAACAGCCAAAAGAGTGGTAATTAAAAGTCTGTGTAAACATACACTATTTTTCAAAGGATTGGCATTAATAAGACTTATTAATACATCTATTCAGCATTAAATTGATCAAAAGTGCCAGTAAAGTTTTTATAATGTTACAAAAGTTTTTTATTTCAAATAAATTCAGTTCCTTTAAACATTATATTCATCAAAGAATCCGGAAAAAGTGCACCGCACGATTTCCACAAAATAATAAGCAGCACTACTGCTTTAATAATAATAAGAAAAGTTTCTTAAGCAAATCAGCATATTAGAATGATTTCTGACAATTTAGCTTTGCCATCACAGAAATAAATGACATTAAAATAGAAAACAGTTATTTTAAATGGTAATATTTCACAATATTATTCACAATATATTTGTATCACTTAAATGCAGCCTTGTTGAGCTTAAGAGACTTCAAAATCATTTCAAAAACATGCAAAACACTTTCAAACCCCAAACATTTGAACAGCAGCGTAGCGTACCTTTAGCAGAACCAGAATTGTAAGAGCAACTGGAATCGTCAAACTCATTATGATTCTCAAAATGTCTTCAGAAATCATAACATGTCATGCGAAAACCATATCAATCCATTATTCTATTACATATAGACTCCATCTAGCATTCAAAGAGAAATCATCATAATTGCCTGGTATTAGAGCTAAATAAATGATGAAGAAAATAATGGAAAACAGGGATACTCTCCTGGGTCATGAGAGGACTTCAACAGAGGAATGTTAGGGTTTCTACCCAGGGGTCATTGTGTTTTGACATTGTCCGGACACAAAGTGGGCCTAATGGTGTGGTCAGGTGGGGGGGTTACATGCCAGTCTTATCCCAAATGATTTAATCCAAGCCTCCAGAGGACAGGAACCTCACAGCCTCGTCCACATTATTTAATCTTTAGCCACCTAAACATTTTACACAGACTGAGATTGTAGTGAGATGCGATTTTGGACCAATTCAAGCTACAGTATAGATAAAGACAAACAGGAATTGTACATCATAAGGCCTCCTTTTCCACCAAAAGGGGTTGAGAAACTAAGGGAAAAGGGAGAAAGAGATCTAAGTTGGTGCTTTTGATCAAATATTTAAATGTCTTTGTGTTCCTGGCTCTCAGTACCACTGTGAACCACGGGGCCATCTGAAATGGACAAAGGAGACATGGTGCTTTAACTGACTATTAGTCTGGACTGAAAATGCTAGATATTTGAAGTGTTTAAGAGCCATAATAATGTGTGTGTGTGTGTGTGTGTGTGTGTAGGTTTAATCATTTCAGAAAAAGGTTTCTCTCAATTTTTAATGAATATTTGTCTTAAAAAAGAAATAATAACTACTCTGCAAAGCTATTAGAATTAATATTTATGCTTCCTCATGAAATATTTATAAATCTGGAGGAGCAAAAGGATGGTGCGTTGTGTCTGGGGCTGGAGGATGGGAGGGTGGGGGCTTGTGTTCGTCTTTCTTCTCATTCCCCCCACTTTTTATGTGGGGGGAGCTGTACAAGATGAATTGATTTACATTAGATGTTTCTTACATGACAGCTTGAGATCCTCTAACAAATGACTGACTAAAACAAGGCAGATAACAAGAGCCTGACAGTCCTCAGCTGCTACAAATGATCCTGAATCGCACTAGTCTTAGCACATCCTACCGTCAGTACGTGTGTGTGCGCGAATGTAGTTTCTATTCTTCCACTGGCATACGGTATACATTAAGTAGATGGTGGTAACCTTTGACCCTTTTGTTCTTCAGTTTACTCGCTGAGCTGAAGTGATCCAAGAAGGTCTCTGTCTATCCGATCTCTCGGAGCGCTGCCGCTCCCGTCGGCCCCTCTGCCTCCCTTTCTATCTCTCCAAATTAAGAAATTAATGAGGGAAAGATTCTTTACAGGTGGCCACGGCAATGTTTACCACTGATTAAATTGTAATGCTGCCCCTGCTGTATAATTTATAAGCCAATCAGAGGAAGTGTTGCTTGATTCGATGGGGAGCGGACACATGAAATACATTTTACTAATAGAGAGCAAGAGCTCTGTGCAAGTGGAAAGAGAGAGAGAGAGAGAGAGAGAGAGAGAGGGGGGGGGGGGGAGAGAGAGAGGGGGGGGGGGGGGGAGCAGGGGGAGGGGGGGAGCAGGGCAAGGCAAGGACGGGACGGGACGAGAGCAGGTAAATGGGCCAGACTCTTAGATTACATGGCTAATTGCTCTTCTTTATCTACCTGTCACAGGTAGCCATGCATATTTCAGAGCTTCCAAAGACTCTGATTGTTTGCAAGTGTGTCAAGGCTGTAAGAGGCTGATGACTAGCCAAACTGGAGAGTAGTTAAAGACTGGTAGGAGGGGTGGGAGTGAGACCAGTGAAACTAACAAAGTAAAAATTACCTGTACAGTCTGAGAATGATCATGTATGAGGGGTTTGGACACGGGTCCAAAGAGAAGCTCAGGTATTATGCTACCTTTCCTTGAAAGTGAAAATGAATAAGGGCGGTCAAACTTTATGACAAAACAAGCACCATAAAATTGGTCCATATGGCCTAAGTTCTATATTTCAGGTCTTTTGAAGTCAAACAATAATTTTGTGAAACAGACCAAAGAGTTGAATTCAAGAACCGTATCAGTTCGATTCATGAATGAATCATTGAGACCTGTTTATTGAACTGGATCAAATGATTCACTGAAAGGATCTGAATTAAAAGAATGATTCTTTCATGAATCAGACATTCCTATTCACTCATGACTAGGGCAGATGTCATGATTTACAAAGGATAACAAATTTTTGTTCCTCACGGACATCTACTGCGCAGCTTCAGAAGTTTTGAAATATAGCTGTGAAGACCAATTTATAGTACTTTTATGGTACTTTTTGTCATTTCAATTTCATTATATGAAAAAAGTGGCCAAGATATTTACCTAAAAAGTCATACAAGTTTGGAATGATGATAGAATTTTAATCTTTTGAAATGAATCTGTATCCCTTAAACCAGTGGTTCTCAACCAGGCCACAGCAAACTTCCAAGGGTGCCTCAAGAATTAAATGAATTAAAATGATTTGAAATAAGAGAAAACAAGCATTAAAATATGCTCATTTTAAATAGCTTAATTACTGTAATCAGCCTAATTTCAAAATGGTCATTTCTAGACCTGGAAATGAACAAAATCTTATAACTCCATGGGCAATTTTAATGATGAATATACATTTTTATAGTTATTTTCAAGATTTTCAAAAATCTTTATTTTCAAAAAATTGGGAGTAAAAATTTTTTTTTTATTTATTTTTTTTAGAAATTCTTATCCAGTAAATCACAAATCTTCAGGAAAAATCTTCAAAAAAGGTCTTCAAATATTGTCAAAAAGGTTGAATACCACTGCCTCAAACTTTGCTGTACATAACAATAGATAATTATTTTAGATTTCCTTCTTAACAAAGTGTCATACATCCATGGCTAACTGTCTGATCAGCTTTTGAAAGAGGATCGGATGATTGCGGCATGAGAAACCAGAGCAAAGGCATCTTCATTTATCTGATGAGGTAACTTCATTAGCGAGCGTCCTTTTTCCTTTTCTTCCTCTTTCGTCTTTCATGGATCAGGTAACTTCCTTTACATGACAAAAGACTGCCACTAACTGGAACAGACAGCCACTACTCTGGATCGCCTGCAACTACAACTTCAGCAAGGCAAACAGGTCATCATTACTGTATGTATATTTAAACAACACAAAGCAAAATACAATAAAACCAGAGCAGGTTTTATTCTGGGTTAGAGATCGGAAACCAAAACTGGACCAATCAGTCGTGAGCAAAGTCTGATGTAATAAAGCCACTACCCCTGTATCTCTGGCTTCAAATTAAAGCAGTTTATAGTGACAAAATTACCTATCTTTTGCTGCTAATTATTTATACATATATTTATATGAATTGACAAATAATATTGAACTTTGCATTTAAATTAATATAATTATATACATATAATTACAAGCTTCAAAACTGTACATATAAAGCTTTTAAAGCTTACATGTTTCCTTTTTAGCTCTTTTTGAGCCTAGCTAAATTCTTATCATTTAAATTCAGTTGATTCACTAGCATTGAGTCAGATATATTCTTTCAGCTACCTTATCAAACTTAGGCTGCAGCAGCAGTGTTTATTCCTGCCTTGTAAATGCATTTAAAATTCATAATATATTTCATAACGATCTCTTAATCTTCATCAGAGAAGTGAATTTCACCGGCTCTCTCTTGAGAAGTCAATCAAACTGATGCTCTCCATGTTCCGTGTGATTGGCTGTTCGCTGCACGTCACACTTTCAGGTGCTGGCGCTCCACAATTAATCACGAACTCTGGATCAAACCCTGAGTTGACAGAGAATGTTTATATCGAGTGTTGTGAGCCCACTGAACCTGATCTAAACCAGGTTGGATTTGAATGGTATTGTCAACTCTAAACCTACTCTGAAACTGCCACTCCATGCAACAGGCCTCTGGAGTCACACAAACAACATCGTCTTGGCACTCATCGCAAGCAGCGACTCTCTGTTAATGGAGCCCTTTCAGGAAATGGGTAAAGGGATCCACTCTGTCCCCTCTCTCTTCTGCCAGTGACACCTATTAAATGCCCATGCCCTGGCACTGCTCCAGGAGGAGCTGACTTATTCATCCTCACTAAAGCCTGGTAACCAGAGAGCTGTTAATTAATAAAGCTGTCAGGTACAGCGCCGCCATCGGGCCATCATCAGCCCATCTGAAACATTATCTCCCCATTGTTTCAGGGCCAGGCTAACCGCGGGCCTTCGAATCAATTACGCTAATGCTATGTAAATGAGGTCTCCTGCCATTAGCCCAAACAACAGGGGCTGTTAATGGAAGAAATAAGGCCTTGCTATGCTGAAGCGGCGAGGGAAGTGGACACCATGTCTGCTTGCTGACATCTGGGATCAAATCTTAATAGCAGAGAGCTTATAAAAACGTAGTAAATATGATGAGAAATCATGATTAGAAACAGCAGGACAGGAGAACAGGTTAAAAAGGGGGCCCTGCAGTGAGCAAGTAGATTTTTACTAATGTTACTGAGAGTGTTGGGTTACTCGTTACTTATGTAATCAGATTACTTTTTTTCAAGTAACTGGTAAACGGATTACTTTTAAAGTCCCCCTGTGGTGAAAGTCAAGCTTTTAATGTTGTTTATATGTCTATATGGTGTTTTTAATATGCTTTAAGACAAACCATGTGCAAATTCAAAAGTCAACACCATTGCTGACTATTTTCTCCTTAAAACTGCAGTGATCTAAACAAAGACCCTCTCAAAAAACGCAGTTTGAAATCGCTGGTGTTTCTGACGTCACAAACTACCTTGTAACAAATCACGTCAATGTGTGATCGTCAACGAGTGGATCTTTGAGCTGGTATGAGTGAGTGGAGGTGGGGCTAATTTGCATATTCATAGAACCACGTATAGAAATGAGGCAAGGGTGTAGAGTTACAATCAAGCTATTTTAAGGCATGACATTTTTTTCAAGGAAAAAAAGTTTAAATATGTCATTTTGGTGATCAAAGATAGTTTTAAGGGATACAATTATTGACTACAGGGGGATTTAAATTTACAACAAAATATATGATTTACTTTTTCAAATAAGTAAAGCAAGTTACTTTGTTTTCTCATTTATTGACTAACAACTCTTCTATCCTCATGTTGAGAGAAATCGTGAGTAAATTGATGGTTATTGTAGTTCTAGACTAAATATCAGTATTTACTCATGTCACTGGCAAAAAAAAAAAACGATTCAGAAATCCTCAAAATGAATAAAATCAGTGAAATGCTAAATCAGAATACTACGCAAACCTCCAATAATTAAATATGTTAAATAAAACAAATATGTTATACATTTAATCTCACTTTATTGACCAATGTACTTGCTGCTGACCTTCGATGATTCAGTTAAACAGAAAGGATTGTTTGAGCTGCGCCTGTACACACGTGAATTTGCATTTCCTTCAGCCTTATTATTTACATTTTGACCAAAATATAGAACTTAAAATAAAGAACATTTGCCAAAAAATATAACTTTTTTATTATTAAAAAAACAAACAAGCCCAGCTCAGTTGAGAAAAAGTAACGCAAAATTATTGTGACGCATTACTTTTCTTTAAAAGAAAGCAATTTTCTAAATAAAGCAATTACCGTAGTTACTTTTTTAAGGGAGTAACGCAATATTGTAATGCATTACTTTTCAAAGTAACTTTCCCCAACACTGGTTACTGCACAGATTTGTGCTCCTGCTCTTGTTTCTGTGTCAAAGGAGACAGAATTGGGACACGTTATTTTCACTGATGACCTAACCCTCAAAGTGAGCTCTCTGATGAGGGGACACACACAGAGGACAGGTTGTATAATCTAAGTGCCATCAGATCCTCCAGGGCAGTTGAGTTAAGGGTAATCTGAGAGGGCAATCTGAGCCCTGCAGTTACACTCACTATTTAGGATAGCTGAGGAGATGCAAATCACAAATAATAACCAGAAAATTCCCAGTGCAGTTTATAAAATTCTTTAGTGCTTTGTTTTCATTAGCTAAACACCAATGTTTACATCTCTGTCTGTCACTGGTCTAAAGTGTTTGACAGGTCAATGAATGGGAATACAGTGTATAGATGATGCATAGGTTGAAATCGATACAGGAATGGAAAGATGAATTGAATGTAAAAAAGTGGTTCTCAAAGTATGGCACACCCCCTTGCTCTCAAATATAGTGCACTTCCTTAATTTCAAATATGCCATGCATGCCAATTGTGATACAAACTACCATTAAAAAGTTGGTAAGATTTTTTTTTTTTTTAAAGAAATTAAAACTTTTATTCAAGGACTGATCATTGTAATTGTAACAATAATTACCTTGTTATGAAAAAGTTATATTTCAAATAAATGCTGTTCTTTTGAACTGTCTATTTCAAAAGATATTCATCGAAGGATACACAAGAAAAAAAAGAGAGCCACTGGAACAAATCATTGTGATAATAGTTTAGAACCCTGTGCAGAACCCTGGCAGTTAACATGCTGAGTTTCAACATTTATAGACATTTAAATAAGTTTATAGTGACTGATATACCTGTTTGGTAGGAAATTAGACTCTTGGAGTTTTTCTGCCTGCTCCACATCTTGAGGAAATCCATGGAGCACCCAGCCTCGTGTGGTACAGTCCATCCTGCTCAGCCTCTCTGTAAGGATCCGCAGGACTATACTGGGTGGCACTGTATGGATTAAACAAATACAGCGATATTACGATACAGTTATCATCTATTTATACATTTGTTGTGTTTTTTCCAAACTACATGACAGAAATACAACAATGCAAACAGTAGAAGAGAAATCTCATTAAGGCAAACTTCGAGAACCAAGAGGTTCAGACTCCTGAAAATCAACTTGCTGTGTCCTTTGAAAGACACTCGTCCTATATACTGTAAACACGGTGTTCAGAGGGGGTTACCCTCTCGAGACACGCACACAAACACACCTGCTTAGCATTTTGTTTGAAATACTGTATACGTTCCCCCCTGTAGGACGTGAGATCACAGTGTTATAGATCTAACGGACGTGAGAAAGGCCTTTCATTTGTTTACTTTTTTCCAGGTACTGTGAAGAAGACTTTATAGGAAAAAGAAAAAAACAGTACGAGAACTTTTTGAAATATGAAAGTTGTTGATATAGGACACCGTTTTAAGGGTTTAAAACCCCAAATAAACAGTCAATTTGATCTGATTCGAAAACACATGGGCAGAGGCGGACAGGAAAGGAAATTAATATTTCACTTAAACTGTGTGGAGGCCATCTAGAGCGCCCCATTAAGAGGATTCAATTAAAGGAGATGGTCTGAGCAGAACTGAAACAACATCATCTCCATACAAAGCATCAGTGATCTCATCATCAAGCGGTATTGTCAAGGACGTGCCTTTTGTTTGTACCTGTATCAAATCAAGGCGGTTTATTCAGATGTGAGGTGATAAATAATTAGCAGACACGGTGTCATTTAAATTCATGTATGTACATTTTGTCTTTTGAAGATATTTCACGGGTCCCTCTCAGAGTACAAAAGCAGTCAACTGCTGGCTGACAGGCAACACGAGCGAATTGTTTAAGGGGATGATGGTACCTCTTAAAACTGACGGACAGTGTGGTAGAGAAGGGTAGCGTTTGTAATGCAGCGGGATAACTGATGAGAGTGGCGCGGAGGACAAACAAATAATGAGGGTAAAGAGAAAATAGAACAGCATTCTTTAAGGAACGCAAGCTGGCACACAGGGGGGTCCCTGCAGCTGGTGAAAAATTAAAGTCGACGGTTTCAAACTGTCCAATTTCCACATCAAACACGCACAGCCTCTTGCCTATCTCTGCAGCCCTGCTTCAAACATCAGGCAGCCTGGAGAGGCTTCCTCTTCTTTCTTTCTTTCCTCTTCTTCACTTCTGCTAAGACTATTTTTTTTTTTTTGGTTTGCTTAATAATCTGGCTTCTCAAATCCCAGAAGCACTGTACTGGTTACACTAGCCACCATCTCTCCATCACCTAATTATACCCCTGTGAGGCCATTAATCAACTTGTAAATTATTTAGGCAAGCTCTCTGCCTCAAATACTCAGTCGCAGGGAAAAGGGGGGAGAAAAGCAAAGGGAAGAGAGAGAGAAGGCACAAAAAAAACCCTCTCCCAGGATACCGAAGCCCTGTTCAACAAGGCAATGAAATACGAGCTAACAAAACATTTACATAGCATTTCTTATGCACACATTGCTACTTCAACAAACACGCAACATGAATTTACGAACACAAGTTGCACGTGACAGATACTGCTAGAGCTGAAAAGATACTTAACATACTCTGACAGATATGACAATCACATTGGGTGTGCATGTGTACTTATCGGAGGTAGATGGATCATTAAAAAAAAGTTGAGTCAACTCTCAAGATTTCAGCATGAGCCATAATAGGTTTTATTTACACAGAATTCCATATATGATTAAGTATGAATTGATGGCACTTTATAATAACTTTCATTAATAAATCACAAACATGGTATCACGCTTAATAGAGAATTCATGGACAAATATTTGCTCTACTCTGAATGTTAAAGAAATGTTTCAAAGTTTTAATGTAGTGTTGAAATGTGTTTCAATGTACATGAACTACATTTAATAATGTTAGTTACAGTTATCCATAAATTATAATATGATATAATAATTATACATTGCAGCTGTTTTCTTCCTGTTTATTATAAATCTGCTCTGAAACAATCTGTTTTTTATAGTGCGCAATGTAAATATACTTTTATATTATATTATATTATATTATATTATATTATATTATATTATATACATTAAATTACATTGATAATGAAAGTTTTCCCAGAGTGTTATGATTTTTAGCTTTTAATTCAAGTCAAGATTTTTTTTGTAAGTGTGACGCAACTGGTAAAACAACATCTGGCTGAATTCAGATTCAATTCTCAAACCCACCCAAAACTGAATATTCATTTTCTTTCAATAAAGGCTAATGTTGTTTTGACCCCACTAACTTCTTTTGTGTTACACAGAAGGAAAAAAGTCAGGTTTGGACCACCATGAGCTTAAGGCGAGTAAATGATGACAGAAAGTAAATTTTTGGGTAAACTATTGATTTAAGGCTAAGGATGTGAAATAAAGACATGACATGGTGCTTATCTAGGCGATACAAGTTTGAATCAGGCTTGCGTCATTCCCAGTCCCAATCTCCATCTTCTCCCCATTGTTTCCCTATCAATGAAAAGGCTAAAGATTTATTTAAAACACACACACACACAATGCACGCTTACATTCTGTGCTTTGTATCCCTTGAGAATCTTTATTAAATTAATGAAAACTTGCTCAAGGCGAGAGACTTGGGCCAGAGCGGTGATAAAGGTAGTGATTGGCAGTCCCAATGGCTGAATGCATTCTCTGAGGAGTGGGACTATAAATCTATATACATTTACTTATGGTCTCTGGGGGATTTAGAACAGAGAGGTGTTGGGCAGACACAGAGAGCGTGTGAGATGAGAAGGGAATAACAATGATGAGGATGAATGAAAGGTCACAGAAAGTCAAGACAACTAGAGCATTATGGTGTGTTCTAACTATATAAAAAAATGGTTGTCTACTTACAGTAGATGCAAAACCTATAGGGTAAGAAGCCAGCAAGTACTGTGATTTTGTTTAGACATCCGGAAAGTAACCAAACATTTCTGCAAAATTACGTAGTCCACGTTATATGATAATCATTTGCACTACCAATATCATATATCTGAATCATAAACCAATCATAAACCATCATAAACCAATTTCATATATGTGAATATGTGAAAATATCACAACACGTTCACTGAGCGGACTATTCTGACTATGAGGTGAGTGTGTGGGGGGGTCCAATTATCTGGTCAAAAGCAGGAAACAGAACTCTGCATCTTACAGACTGGGGTTTGACTTGTTCTGTGTGATTGACCCATTTGGCAGTAGGTAAAGAGGAGGTAAGGAGACATACCTTGCTGTTCTGACTCCAGGTAGGGTTTAATGAGCTCCCCCATATGGTTCTCATCAGCTGACACAGCCTTCAGAAACTCACCACAACAAACTACAGCAACAGAGATATGGGAAAGAACAGAAGAAAGTAATAAACAATAATAATAATACTTTTAAATTAACAACATACTACTATGGACAATGGTTCACTCAAAAATTATATAAAAAGATGATTTATTCTAAACCCTTGCACTGTTATTTTTTTTCCTTGTATCCAGATTCAAAAACGGTGCATTATTTTTGGTGTTTTTGTCTTTTTTGGAGCTTGATCACTATAAACTGTCAATGTATGGAAAGAGCTGCGTAATGATTCTTTAAAAATGTCTACTTTTGTGTTATACAAAAAAAAAAAAAAAAAAAAGAGCATAGAGGTTTTAATCATCAAGAGGGTGACTTTTACATAATAGGATAATTTTACATTTCGGCTAAACTACCATTTTTAACTATGTTGAACCTTGCAGATGAGAAAGAGTACAGGTGAAAAGTGACAGTATTTAATGCGAATTAACAGAAGATGTAGAGTTGAGGAGGAGCTTACTGTTGACAATGCCGTATTTCTGAGCAATTAGTTTTGCCTGAAGACTCTTTCCTGAACCTGGGGGTCCAAACAGTAGGATTCTGGGAGTGTAGGGTGAGGCAGAGCGACGTGGAGTACGGACATAGTTCAGCACTGCAGTATAAATACAAAATAACCATATAGGAATGAATGATAAATTGTATGTGATATGTAACAAAGTGCAGCAATGCTTAGATAAATACATTTTCAGTGAATAAATAAGACCTATTAAAATCTGTGGTTCAAGGTGATATTTAAATGTAGCTATGTTAAAAATGAGGAGTCAGTAAGTTTTATTTTTTTAAATGTTTTTGTTTTTAATGATAAGCCTCTCAACAAGGCTGCATTTATTTAACCAAAATACAGCAAAAACAGCAATATTATGAACAATTATTAAATTACATTTTTCTATTTGAACAATTAAAAATGTGATTTTTTCCTGTGATGGCATTATGGCAATTCTGAATTTTCTTTAGCCATTACTCCAGTCTTCAGTGTCACATTATTATAATATGCTGATTTGGTGCTCAAGAAACATTTATTAATACTATTATTATTATTCATACTATCATCAATATTCTCAACTCAGTTGTGCTGCTTAATATTGTTGAAATCTTTTTTTTCAGGATTCTTTGAAGAATAGAAAGTTAAAAAGAACAGCATTTGAAATGACCCCAAAAAACTTTTTGTAGCATATGCATTACAAAACATTTTTGTTTGTGCAATCAAACAACACAGATTAAATGTAATTTTCTTCAACCCTATGTTCAGACCGTACCAAACTTTAATACAAAACAACACAATGCAGGCACAGGTAGACTATATTGAATGTTTAATGGAGTAAGATAATAGAGCACATTTGTGAGGCTGCTGACAGCCTATTCGCTCAGATCATAAACAGAGATTGCCACTAAACTGAATATAAAGCCACTTGATTAATTAATCATCAGAGGCTTCCTTTCATGTCCACGGGGGCATTTGCTTGTAGTGTGACATCCACATCGAAGCCATCTGCTTGCAGTTGGGTTTCACTCACAACAATGCTGTTTGTCTGGAACCTGCGCTGAGCCGCCATTCTAATGTGCAATGATTAACAACAGCCTAATCATAACTAATGAGTTCCTCTCATCAAGCCCTTTATGCTGCTAATTGTTATACAACAACATGATAAATGCTTAATATGCGAAACATGTTAATGCGCTAAAAGGCTAAGTCAGGGGGAAACTAGCAACGTTGCAATCAAACCGCATGCTGAATTAGCACTAAACAAGATTTAAGATGACAGCCTTATTGCTGTTTGCTCCTCAGTATGGGTTTATGAATGTTTTATGGCAGAGTTTATCTCAAATATTTATTTAATGTCCTCCATTTAGGCATATCAAGAAAATCAGGTGCAGTTAAGTTAAGATTAGGCATAATGGCACACTGTCCTACAGTATACAATTTACAAATCAAGCCCACAGCGCAAAACCATTAGGCTGGAGGATCGCTTCCTTGATAGGTAACTCAACAGAGCATTTTGGCTTTAATACTAATGTGCCATGAGACTAAATGAGCCTTTATTTCTCCCCAGATAAGCCAAATTTCTATGAGAAAGCGAGAAATGGAAAGAAACCAGTCCAAAATTGGAACTGAATTTCTCCCAGCTCATGTTTATGTAGCTTGAGCTGGCAAAATATTGTAAAAGTGATAGACAGAGGTCAGTTTATAACATCTCTAAAAATGCTGCCCGTAATATACAATGACTGGCTATCAGTTCCATGTATACTCATTCCTATGATAAATATGCATCTTTATAATAAAAAAACTGTGGTATGAATTTCACAAAATGCTGCTAACCTGCCTAATGCTACGGTCAAAGTGATGTATGCAAAGAGCGGTTTAAATATTCACTGCCTAGCTCTACCTCACGACTAAAGGAAGGGAAGTGACAAAATTATTTTGTCAAGTTGAGCGATATAATATTTAGACAGGTTGGATTCAGATGGTTTTAATGTAATTGGCGAGGACCGCTCATCCCTGACCAGGTTCTCATGGGATAGTCTGTGCCTGCAGAGCTGCCTGAGGCAACCTCCTCAACTGGAAGAGTGCCTGACAAGCGGGTCAATCACAGCCTCTGAATGCAGCCGCTTCACTACTGACCTCCGACCAATAGGGGCGGTAGATGTCTGTTCATCGCAGTAGGTGATATTAGTGGAAATGTTTGAAAAGCTCTAATTGTAACTCAGTGACCTACCTAAGTCTAACCTGCACACATTTTTAGAAATGCAGCCTATGTTTTGAATTCAAATGGCTTGATTCAAATGGAAAATACCACCTAAGATCAGTTTCATACCTCATACAAAGTCAGTAGCTTGACAAGAAGATTTGTAAACACTAATTTAAAGCGATAGTTCAGCCAAAAATGAAAACGCTCTCATCATTTATTCACTTTTATGTCGTTCCAAACCTGTATGACGTTTTTAGAACATAAAAGAAGATTTGAGAAAAGTCTTGTTTTTTTTTTAGTCCATACAATGGCAGTCAATGGTCACTAAGACAGTTTGGCTATACCAAAACTCTTCAACATATCTTCTTTTGTGTTCCGTAAAAGAAAAACATGCCGTTTTGGCAACATGAGGGGTGAGTAAATGACAGAATTTTCATTTTTGGTAGAAGTATCCCTTTAATGCAGAAGATGGTGAAGTTTACCTTGAGAGTAAACGTCTACATGGGGCTGGTCAGCATTGATGGTCTTCAGGCAGCTGTGGTAGGTGCGCCTCAGAGCATGAGCTTCTCTGTGGTATTTCTGCAGCTTTTTTGCTATAAGATCAGCTGGCATCAGTGTCATGGGTGTTTCTAAACGCTGTGCAACCTCTTCACTATCAGGCCACATGAAGGTGACGTGATATACATCTAAGACATGGAAAGAAAACATGTGGGAAAGGTCATCAGATATGATTTATACTCCAGGATATATGTGCTGAGGTAAAAGTATCATATAAGTTTTAGTAAAATATATATAAAAAAAAACAAAAAACATTTTCCAAAGCATTTATTTTGACAGCGAATGTCCTGAAATAGATTCATAAACATGGATCATAAATAAACAAAAGGGAAAATGGCAATTATGTGGAAATGGTGCATCCACACCATCATAAATCTGCAGGGAGCTCTGGCTTTTGTTCATTACAGCTGGGCTTTCTGAAACCCTGAGGACACACAGGCCCGATTTGGATTCGGCAAACAAGTGGAGCGCTGTCAAGGTCCACAGATATGCATTCTAACAATTGTGCATGTTAGCTGCCTGTCTCGCAGTCCCACTCTCTGAACTAAGAAATGTGTAATGATCATACAGACATTACCTCCTGAGACAGGGTCTATCCTCTTGCCCGAGCTCCTTTCAATCAGAACGACATCAGGAGCTTCCAGCATCACTGCGAGGAAAGAGTTAAAAGAAAGCACTAGAGTTTGACACGTTCTCTGGGGAGTGATAGTGAGTCCCAGAGAGATATTTGGTCGGTCTCATTATCGAGTCCTGATTCAAATCTCTTGTTTTTCAGTTGGGAACAACAAAGTGTTTGGACAACATGCCACTAACCAACATGATCTGGGGTGATGCCTGCTTCTTGTAGACATAGTGCCTCTTCTTGCGTCTTGGGAATGGCTTCCAAAACCCAGCCCTGGAAATACAATGCATGTTATGCACACTTGAAAAGGTACAAACAATTTGCTTTAAACAATAATAAAACTCTCTGATGACACATAGAGTCCAACTTTGCTAGTGATAGACAATGCCGACACATGAACACAGCTGAAACCTTGCATTTTGTCTTAAATAAACACCCACACAATTCTCTTGTTTACATTTCTATAAATGCACTTGCTTTTCCCCATGGTCAGCTACTGTGCTTAAATTGTTGTTTAAAATAGTTTTCATATAAGCAAAACAATATCCTGCCTGGAAAAATACTTTAAAAAACACTAATAGGGTTTGAATGAATAATTTTATATGAATAATTCATTTAAATTGCTGCCCTGTACCAGTGTAAATAATGAATGTATAAATTGTTGTATGAATAAGGAGTAAAACTGGCCCATATGGGGTCTCATGCAGGGAGGCAAATGGAGGGTTAAATCCATAAAAACCTTGAAAATGTGCCTAATTCTCCAGCTCCTCTCCACACTTCTCACTTAGCAATAAAAATAACATAAGAAGAAAGGAAACGCATGCATATCATTCATTAGCTACAAATCCATAAAAAAATCCTCCTCTCTAATAGTCTCCTAAATCCCAAGGCTTGCTGTGCAATGGTGCGGTAAAATAAAGAACAGTCAAAGAAACCATCTCCCAAAAGTGCTTGTTAGGGGCCAACTTATTACTGCAGTGAATAATCTTAAAATAAATAAATATATGCAACAAACATTTATAGATCTAAGTATTATCAGAGGAGCTGTGGGTTTTTGCTGCTGAGTTTCGAGTGTCTGTTTGATATCAGCCTTTGTTTTTTCAGGCTTTGATCTTTAACGGCAAACCTATCCTTTGCTTCACCTGATCTCAGCGCGCAAGTTTCCTCCCACTTACTTTCCCATTAAGCATTTGATTGCCTCTGTGGCTGGGAAGCCCATGAGCAGGGCCTGACGCACAGAATGCATGAAAGGCCTCTAGCCTACACAATCTAACTGCTGTGAATATAGGGAAAATACAGGGTGGATGTTGAGCAAACTCCAGCCTCTTGAATGACAAATGTCAGTAGTGTGGTGTCTGTTCAGTTTGTTGATGTACAGCATTTCTAGAAGAGCATAATGAAATAATAGTTATTACAGAAATCAGATAAAGAGCAGATTATATACCAATATGCATCTGTATGTTCAGAGGCTTGACAAGGAAACCTAGGTAGAGTCCAAACTTGCTTCAGTCAAACTACTATGCACACATGAACTCCCACACATACATCTGAACACAGCCCCACTGCGACTTGCTCCATTCCGTTTCATCCCCACATCAAAAGGGGCCGTGGTGCAGTAGCAGCGGGCTCAGACAGAGACCCCAGGACTGGAACATCTGCAGTGAGGCCAGCTATCACAGGAGGGACATGCGCGGAGCAGATGTCACCAGCCAGCCCAACAGCAGGCAAGGCAGGGGAGCAGAAGCAGCGCCCCGACATGTCACTCACAGACCCCAACACACAGCTCCCCCACACAACAGACAGACAATATGGCAGCAGGAGCGGCTGCAAAACACTCCACTTGACTTTAACAATTAGATCTCAATTAGCTGTCCACTTATCTGTTAACCACTGATTCGCTTTAATGATGCTCTAGTTTTAAAATAAAATAAAATGAACAAATAATAAATGGAACTGAACCCGGGTCAAGAAATTCCTTTAAACTGATATGACATCTTTAACACAGCACTCATAATGCAAAACACTGAAGAAACAGTTAGACACGTCACAACAGTCAAAGCGAAAAAATCAAGTGTGTCTATATAGAAAAGCAATTCAAAAACTACTAAAAACTAGTACAATTATTGTGCATATACATATTATATACACTACAGTTTAAGTTTAGATCAAAAGTGACAGTAAAGCTATGTTACAAATTATTTCAATTGCAAACAAATACTGTTCGACTTTTATTAAATTACATTTGAAAATATCTTGAAATAGAAAACAGTTATTTTAAATTGTAATAATATTTCACAATATCACTGTTTTTGCAGTATTTTTGTTTAAATAAAAAATGCAGTTTTGCTGAGCATAATATACTTCTTTCCAAATTTTTTACAATTGCCTTAAATCTTTTATTGCTGTTCAATTGAACCATATGATTATATTTTAAAATAAGGTAAAACAACTCCGTAAAGCATTATTTGCATTGTCTGCTTTCAAAAAGTTATGAATATTTCATTTCCAAACTTTCCTTTAGATTCCTCCTTTCTCCCTCAAAATAGAATTACAGACACTATGCAAATTCAAACAGCATAACTTTATTTGGAAGCCTCATTAGGGATCCGGATGACTGTGACATGCACCCCATGATCTTTCTTTCTTTCTTTCCTTCTTTTTTTCTCATTTACTTTAGGGTCCATTTTTTTTTTTTTCAGGACTGAAAGGCACTCATTAAATTGACATTTTACTTTAAATCACTATTCATTACCTATGCTCCCTCTCCTGATTTTCCACAAGAGTACAAGTCTAAAGTTTTACAAACAGCAGCCTCATGAGAGAACGAGAGAGAAAGAATTAAGACAGCTTGAGAAGCAGTGACAGGCGGAGATGAACTAGATGACCTAGATTAGGCATGATTAACATTCATTGTTGCTTAATTTGGAAAAACAGGTAGACAAGAAGCACACACACACATACACACGCGCAGGCATCAGTGGCAGAGCAATTAAGCTTTGCTGTCTAGGCTCCAGTGGTGATGTGACATGTCAATCATTCCATTCTTTGGCCCATTTAAGTGTGTGCGAAGCAAAAGACCATGAGATGAAGGCTCCTCATGGTGAGCCAGAGATGCTTTGTCAGGTGTCTAAATCTACAGAGGAAAAACTCTACCTCAATCCTCTGCTCATATGCAGATCAGTCAGGATGGAAAATAATTAAATAACCAGATAAATACTATCAGACAGTTTGCCTGAAGGGATAAACATCCATTACTAGATTCAAAGGAGTCGCTAATCACAAACTACTGAGATTAAAAGGTGAAAGTTAAAGGATGCCAAATGGAAAAAGTTTCGAGATGGGATTCTTGGCTGAGTAAAGCCATTTGCGGAGTTTAGTGAGCCATAAAAGGAGATGCTTTTTTGGAGTCGGATGATTTACATATTCCTCCGTGCGGCTGCACAGAAGAAACTGACACTTCAGAAAAAGACACGATCAGGGAGTCCGTGATTGATTGTGTGATTTGACTGAAAGATGAAAGGAGGAATCAAAAGGTGTGAGATCTGAGAGTAAACGTGAACGGACACCTCAGCGGTGAGGTTCTTAAGTGGCATTAGTGCTGAGATCACATGTAACTGGCAGCCGGTGAGGGGCCTGCTGGTGATGAAAGGTTTTCTCCGAGAACTCTCACCAGCAGTCTTGCATTCCCCGAGACCCATCCCAGCAGTCCTCAAGGGAGGCGCAGAAACACACGTCTAATTATTTATCATAGAAGGTTGAGTGTAGATAAAGAAAAAAATATGACAAATTATTTGGGCATCACGCTTGTAAACATTACACACAGTTCAAAACGTGGAGGTTACGTGCAAGTTCAGGATGAAAATATGTTTCTCTCACTGGCTTGTTTCATTTTTCACGTTTTAGACAGGTTGAGTAAAACACGCAGCGTTCGTTTTTCTAAATTAATTACAAAAGAAATAAAAGTAAAGAAAAAGAAAAAGCAACTCCTTACCCGTCGAACACAGTCGGGTTTTGAAAGGCGTTGCTGAATCAACTGGCTCCAGACGTCTTTGGGGATCTTCTATTAGACCAACATTACCGACAATAAATCGCAGTGAGTAAATGATTTAATCAAATTCAATTATTAAACAATATATATATATATATAATAAATATGAATTCAATGAATGACAATCCTGTATATTAATATAATATAACAATAAATATTTGAAATTAAAACAGCTGGCTGTCCAGTCAGATCATCAAATGATAATAAATAACTGACTCCTGTCATTTGTATTTTGATCAGACCAGCATTAACAATAAATCACAGAGGATAAATGTTTTAATCAAATTTAATCATTTAGAAAAATATCAATACTAATGAATTTAAATCAATATAATATAATATAAGTCAAATAGACATTTAGAACAACTGACTGTCATTTGTGTCTCTAACATTACCTTCTAAACCTACCTGAGATATATCTGTTCTCTACTAAATGACTGTCCACCAAAACAATCCAATTATTATTAAACAAACACATTCAAATATGCTGTTGAATCTCTAATTATTTATGACATCCTCTGCTGCTTTCATCTCACTCTCCTTTGTGAATTTTGTGAAAATGATAATAATTGGAATCTTTTGGATCGTTCTATTTTAAACTCAAGGCCATGGCGAGTTTAAGTGAGAGGATAATTAGAATAATTAAACCATTGGGAGGCACTTTTCCTAAGCACATCTCTCTCTTTTCTTTTAATTCTATTCAACTCCTGATTTATCGACTAACTAGCCTGCATTGCATTTGCATGATCAGACTTCAGACAAAATCAGTTCTATGTCTTTACAATACCACAGAGACCGCAATTACCGGCATCCAGAGAGTGTAGCAAATGCTGACAACATTACCTTTCCTATTTCCTACATCTAAAATGAATATAATGATCAAGGCATTCCAGACTACTTTTCCTTAAATATACTTTGCAATTAAGTAGTAATACACACAAATACATGCAGACTTCCGTGTTCTAGGCCTGCTAAAAAGGCAAGTTTAGTCATAAAACTCTATGGGAAACCTAATAGGAGTAGAGACCCCACCTGTTTTTTGTCTTGATACTGTGCAGCTCTGGTCAGGTCACTGTCATCCTTTAAGATATCACTAAAAGTTAAGTGAATAGCCTGTGTGTGCTCACACAACTTTTTAGCCTGTGGCAAGACAAAAGAGGACAATCTGAAGCAGGATATACAATTTTAAATATAAAACACTGACAAAAATGAAAATATTCGAAAGCGCATGATGTGCTCCAGAAAAGGTAATTCTGTACAGATGAGTGAAGCAGTATTGGAATCTCTGAGGCCTGACGGTGTAACTATGATAAATATCTTATTTCATTTAAATCTGATGAAACTCTGACATGACAGACCTATTTATAAATAAACTTCAAGACTGAAGAAAGCACAAGCACAAAATTACAGACAAAAAAACAAATATATGCTGAGTTATTTACAGTGAGCACGACACTTACTGTATATCACCTTAAGATATAAACAAGAAAAGCACACTTGAATTGTACACTTGAATATAAACAGCACAGAAAATATAAACAGAATAGAAAAGGACACTTGAATATAAACAACACTTGAATTGTTCAATTGTAGCTTAAAACAAAGTTCAATTAATTTAGCTACTCAATCATTTTGTACTTAAAATGACTTACTATGGTTCTTTTCCCGGACGCTGGGGGACCCAATAATATGATTCTTGGCACTGAAACAAGTTTATTTGTTAAAATCAATAACCTGTCCTCAATACATTGATGCATGATGGCATTGATAGTTAACTAAGTCTAATATAATGTATTTCTATGTGTTTAAAAAAGCAGGCAGTCTGCCTTTTTATCTAAACAATGTTAACAAGTTGGATAACTGCTGCTCCTTCAACTTCTAATATGATATTATATATGACTGCGCCATCTTGTGGTATGGAATATATTTTTGTAAAAATGTATTGCTTTTAGAAGATAATTAAAACAATAAATAAAAAAATGGTAAGGATTTAACACAAGTATAATGACAAAAATCTTACCATCAACACTGTCCCTTTTCAGCAAGTTAATCAGGTGTTGAATGGGGTCCTCTGGTTTGTCCACCATCAAATTTCTCAGCAGTGTCTGCAAATGAGTCATTTATTTGAGTGAAATTGCCTTAATGATCATAAACTTGTTAAACTTTATCTAGTAAAATGTCTATACCTGGACCAGAGGAAATATATCATGTTTCTCTGCATAAATGGCCATCTCAGGAGGGATTCTGAGGGGTCTTACAGTTGCATCCATCACTGCAGTATACACCACACGACACAAGTCACCAAAGGCTTGAAAATCTGTAAATAACTGTTTTTTTTAAGTGCCTTGGTTTACAAAAAGATAACATTAAAGGGGTAGTTCACACAAAAATGAACATTTTGTCATCACTTAAGTTACCCTCAAGTTGTTTCAAGCCTGTATGAATTTATTGCTTCTGCTGAACACAGAAGAAGATATTTTGAAGAATATGGGTAAGTTAACCAAACAGTTGATGGACCCCAATGACTTCCATAGAATGGAAAAACAATTATATGGAAGTCAATGGGGAACATCAATTGTCTGTTATATCTTCTTTTGTGTTCATCAGAAGAAAGAAATTCATACAGGTTTGGAACAACTTGAGGGTGAGTAGCTAAATGATTTTTGGGTGAACTAAGTTAACTGTTAACCTTTTAAATCAATAAAACACATCTAGAGTGTTTTATGAGGCTAAACCACTGATCTGGGCTAAACCTGTACAAAAGGGAGGGGGGCTTATTAAACTGATTAAGTAGCGTTAAACAAACTGTAGGTTTTCGGATTGACCTTTCAAAGTCAAACAGAACAAATGACTGAATATAACGTTAGGTTTTCTGATGCAGCATTGCTCTTTGCTTTAACAAAATATAAATTAAGGAATGTTACGGAAACTACGTAGGTACTTGATTTAAAAGAACAAGATGCAGTTTACTGTTCTAATCGAGAAGAACATTTGATGTTACCTTGAAATGTAGTTGTTGTTGATAGTTCTCTGTGCGCACGCGTTTGTTAATGTTTGTTGCCATTGGTAACTTGGTCAGCCAATCGCCATCTCCGCCACCAGAGGGCGCATGAGTTTCATACTGTTGTTACTAAGCAGCGCAAATTCAATACAACAGAAACACTTTACATAATATGTTTGATAGACCTATACAGTACGCACTAATAGGTAAGTTCTAGTCCATGTGAATTTGTGTCATTTATTATGATGAATACCATTTCTGTTTATCTTCCATCAAAATCGCTATTGTTTTCCATATTGAATAAAATACCACTTTCTCAAGTCCAAACATCTCAGTTTCCAAGCTGTAGTCTCTACAGTTCTGTGCTAACAACAAACGTTAACGTTACCTCTAAACAGTACTGTTTTTATGCACTCTAACTTTACTGTATCCATTTAAACAGGTTAAGTAAGTTACTTCAACTGAGATGGCTGACGTCAGAGAGCAGTTACTCTCCATTGAGGAGAAGTATAAACGTTTCAAACAACAGCAATTTATATTTATAACAGCCCTTGAGCGGTCGAGAGAGCACGCCAGGGACAAAACTGAGCCTGTCTCCACCGTCGCACAGGTTATTATGCATTCATTATTCCTTTTTCTATTTAAGAAAATATCAAAACAATATAATTACAATACAACATTTCAAATGCTACGGGGAGGTTTAAACAATATTATAAGAACACTTTAAAGAGTGCACTGCACATGCTTGTAAAATTTTAATAAGTTAGCTTTTTTTCTTCAAGGGCAGTATTGACTCAAAATAATGCTTTAAATACTATAAAACATGTTTACATTTATGTATGGGAAATTTAGCCATTAAAATAAAAATAAAGTTTGATTATCTTTGGAGTTTACAATAATACCTAAAAGAACATATTTCCACTGTAATGTAAAATTTTCATCAACATTTACAACAATACATGTTGCAAAAAACAAACAAAAAAGACACAATGGCAGTGCCAAAATAAATGAACGGTGCATTCATAGTTTCCAAGTTAATTAGGCTACACTTTACTATGTATGATGAAAACATATTACTTCAAATAGTATTATTAGCAATAATTACACTACCGTTCAAAAGTTTGTAGCACTAAGGCTTTTTAATGTTTTGGAAAGAAATCTCTTACGCTGCCCTTGTGTTTTCCAGCCTTGTTTAGGCTGCATTCATTCGTAGTATTCTAATTTGGTGGTCAAGAAACATTCCTTTTATCATTCATGTTGGAAGCTATACGCAGTTATGGTCAATATTTTTTTGTGGAAACCGTGTCGCATTTTTTTTTCAGGATTCTCTGATGAATAGAAAGTTAAAAAGAACAGCATTTATTTAAATTCGATTTTTTTGTAAAAGTCTTTACTCTCACTTCTGATCAATTTAATGCATCCTTGCTGAATAGATTAATTTAAAAACTGACCCCAAACTTTTGAATGGTAGTGTATGTGTAATTATAATCAGTTCCACATAATATTACATATTGTTTATTACTTGTACTCAATACATATATAATTACAGCATAATGTGAAGTTTGACCTAATCATTAAATGTTCCTCTGTAGGTCCAAAGATACATGAATCACCACTGCAGCAATTCCACGGACAGACGCATCTTTTTGCTTTTTTTGGAAATTATTTCGGATCTTGGAGGCGTTTTAAAACATCTCGAGTCCTCACTGTCTAGCCAAAACACTTCCTGTGAGAGCCTGGATACTTGCAGGGAGATCCTCGGCCCCAACAGCAACATCAGCCAGCTAAGGGCACAGTTAAGTGACAGAAAAATTACACCATTTACAACAATTCAATTGCTATCTAAAGTTTTAAAGCTTAAAATTTAGATCCAGGATAACTGCTTTTTTCTTTTCATTGATTGAGATCACATGGTAACATGAAGCTCAAGAGTCATCTTAACATGAAGAATAGCCACAATGCAACACCATTAATTACTTCTTTTTTTTTCATTCACAGCTACCCACACAATGATATCAACCGGCTGAGCTGTGATGAAGCAAGGAATTTCTATGGTGGGATTGTTAGCGTGATTGCACTGGCTCTAGACCTCCTCACCACCTACAGTAAAGGAGGTGTTCAACATCTCACTCCAACAGCTACAGAAACATCTCAACAAACAGTAGCAAAGAATGTGGGGATGGTTGCAGACCTTGATAAAGACACCAGTGAGAACCCGAGTAGATATAAAAAAGGCACAGGAGGCTGGCATGCTGGAAAACCAGCTTGGAAGCCACCAGGAAATACAAGGAAATAGATAATACTTGTTCAATACTTGCGCATGTTTTTGCTTTCATATGTTTTCACAAAAGTATTATATACAATTATAATTTTAAAATAGATGACTATGACAAAAAATTATGCAAAACATATATATTTTATTTTTTGTTGATCATAGCAAGTTGAACACAAATCTGTTTTCTTAAATTCAAAATAGAGTCCCTGGTTACCCGTTACACCAAACACCGTCTGATTGTACCATTGTTCAGATAACTTTTGACAAACGACTTCAGGTGACGGACAGGTTTCATACTTTTTTAAGTAAGGCATTTTGTGAAACAACAAAATGTTTGAGAGGGCTTTTGGTATAAAAACAACGTAAAGCCTGAGTGACAGGGAAACAAAGCACAAGCTGTAAGATCACACTCATGGTGAACTGTGATAAGAACAGTTTGAAAAGAAAGAAAAACAGCAGTGATTTCCATAGATTTCAATTCTCACTGTAAATTCTCTGAGCCATTTCCCCAGCTGGCAGGCCAAAGCCAGCATTTTACTTTCTTTGCAACAACACTTCACATATTCCATTTATATCTCGCACTGAACACAAAGCCCTGGGGCAAGTTTTTTAGAAGGAGACGAGTATATTGCTCTGCTAGGGTTCAGCAATCTTAAGAGGGCCTGAATTAAAAAAGAAGTGCTTTTGCTTCAGCCAGCTGCAGCCTATTATATGAAGCCTTTTCGTTGCAGATGGGGTCTGACCTGCGTAAAACAGAAATGAAAGAAAATAATAGAGGGACATAAGCCTTCTGGCTTACAGCGAGCAGCTTCCTTTCAGAGTTTAGTGTGTCGAAGTATTGCAGTGGCCGTGTTTTGTACGCTATTAACACAAGAACATTCACCCGTCAGACATATCTTAAACCACAAAGATATTTTCATTTCTCAATAGGTCTCAACTGGACAAATACACCTACAGCAGCCTGGCCTGTGTTCTATAAGGCTCTGACGGTCCTGCAAAGCAGCAATCTAAATCTGTTTCTTTTTCCCATCCTCACTCATACCTTCGAGCTGGCATGAAGTATTAGCTAAGAAGTATTGCACTGGTGACTGGGCGCTACAATCCCAGTGGAGAACATTAATGCATAAAAATAAAATCTATTACTAGAAATACAACACAAGACTTGCTTATTCTCTATAGGCGAAGTGCACAAAGCACTGCTATGGCATATACACACACGACTTGCCTCAGCAATGAAATGTGATTTCTCATTCTACTTCACCTACGCCACATAGCTTTTTAGTTTTTCACATTTTTATCGGACTGATTGATTGTTTTTTAGAGGCATGATCTATTTACAGTGATCAAACTCTGTTTTGTGCAATTTCTGAGTCACATCAGCAGAAATTAACGATGTTCATCTCACAGTGACTCAAAGGGGCATTTTGCGTGGACAAATTTGAGAGGATTGGAAACTGCACGGTACTATTACAAGAGCAAATACAGTGATTAAGTCAATACATTTGCTGGAAAGTACAGTAAAGAGGCCCAAATAACATCCAGCCACCACGAAATATAAATCACCACGGTCGCTTAATGAATGCCAATTATAAAAAACAAAACAAAAATATACTGAATTACATTGAATTCATATTAGACAGGAGATAAGTGAACCATTTTTTTTTTTTGAAGACAAGATGTTCTCTTGCCACTGTGGTGACTATATGGCAACTGCCAAGCGACAACCTTTTTTTTTTTTGGCCGTTTCATAATACAAGAGCTTTTAAAATGAACTAAAACATTGCAAACCACTCTAACAAAAAGAGCGTTGCGTTCTAATACTGGGTCCAAAATTATCCTCTTCTAACTGCAGACAATCTTGTCAGCAGTGTACAATCAATGCTCATGGAGGGTCTCGTTGTAGTCCATGATCCGCAAATCCTGCTGCCTCCGCCGCTGAATATTATACGCTCGAGGTCTGTCCATGGGCTGCAGGTCAGCCTGGTCAGTAGCCCCTTCAAGCTCTATGCTCTCTGTGGGGTCTGTGATTGGCTGAACCTTAAGATCCTTGGAAAGGCAGGTGAGGGCAGCCGGCTCGCCATCATAGTGGCTCTCGCTCTTATTGCGAAACATCTCTCTGGCTCTCTTACCCAAAAAGCTTCCGGTACTGGGGTAAGAGCCAACTTCCAGCGGGGAGTCACAGGGGAGGGCAGGAAATGAATGGGTAAGGGCGGAAAGATCTTCTTCCTGGCTGCCATTATTGAATGCTGTGGGTGTTTGTGGAGGCCCGTCAGATATTTCACCATTGATGCACATGTGCGTGCCTTCCTCTCTTTTCATTGGGTCAGCTGATAGAGATGGAGCAAATGGGCCTGTACTGTTTCCATTAGGCCTGAAACACAAATGAAAATATAATTCTTCTACAAAATTCAGCAACCCATCATCTTTCTGTCTTGAAAAGTCTAAAATACATTACAGAACACATTGTTTGCATTTGTAAATCAGTACGTGGAGGGAAAAAATCCATGCATGACAATAATATGGACCACACCTCTGGTTGGTGGGTCTGCTGGGCTCAGAAGTGGGTTCTGCTGGTGCTTTGGTGTTCAGGTTTTTGAGCTCTATCTGGCTATAGAGCTCAAGCAGCTCAGATTGTAATGCCTGAGTGATGTGCTTCTGGGCCAAATATCTGTTTTCTGAAGCCTGCAGCTGCTCCCTACAGGAAAAAAAAAATGCAGACAAGGATTAAATTAGTGCATTTTACAGTAAGAATCGGTTGAAGAGATGAACAGAACCTGATGATCAATAAAGCAAAAAGATCTATCAACAACTACTCATTAGCAAACATTACAGGGGGTTCATGAGCTGATGAAAATCGAATCATTTAAATCATAAAAATGTAAAATTAAATAAGACAAAAATAAATTTTAAATATATATTATTTACCTACATGTCATGTGACCATTAATCAAGAACGTGATTGTGTTGTTAAAGTGCCCCTATTATGCAATTTTAAAGGTTCCTAATTTTGTTTTGGAGGTCTCCAACAGGTGAGACAGTAATTACAAGAGTTAGCAGGTTAGCCGGAGACCTACACAATATAAAACACAAACATTTTGAACACCCGGTAGAAAATATATACATCAATAATTAATCATACTTACAGGTTGTGATTCTGAGGAGTAAGTTGGTCCAAATAAAATGGATACTGTCCAATCTTTGATGGATAAGTGTTTTGTAAATCCTATTTAGACCTCACAGAGATTTAAAAAAGCAATCGTCAAAAGGTTGTATTACTGTGGTAATTGTAACCACTGACCCTTCACATCCTCATCCTTTGGAAGTGTTTGCAAAGTGAATTTTCAGAGCAGAAAACTGCATCTTCTTGACATGTACACAACACGAACCAGGGAGAGCGGGTCAAAGTAGACATTGTTCGTGGACAGCCAGTGAAGACGATAAGTGGGCATTGTGCAAATGTTTTACCACGTTACGTATGCAGGTCACGGAAGTGAGACTAGAATTCCTGAAGACTTGTTTACACGGTTAAGAGTCGATTATTTATTTTGGGAGACTAACTATTTATTGAGCACTTTTTGACTTTACAACTTTGCAGACCGTTGACATTCCCAGACAGCTATATTACACACTGCATGAAAGTGAATATTTGAAAAAGCATAATGGGGCACTTCAAATGATTGAAATACTAATTAAATCTCATGGGGGCCTTTAAGTAAATATTTTAGGTTATAGGGGTTCGGCTGATAAAAAATGTGGGGATCCCTGTGATAATATAATACACTATATTATATTATAAAATATATAATACACTGTGTTTGGGCATAGAAATATGATTCAGATTCAATAAGATTCAGGACTACGAAAGCAGGGATAACCACATACGTGGCTTGGCTTTTGACATTCTCCAGCAGTTTCTTTTGTTCTCGGATGACTTGCTCTTTCTTGGCGAGTTGGGTCTCCAGGTCTGTGATGCGCTGTTGGGCGGCATCAAGTCTTTGACTCTGCTGGAGAGAGCTTTGCCTCAAACGCTCAACCTCACGCAGTGAAGATGCCTGCAGCATATTCAGCTCCTAAAAGTCACAAAAAGATCAAGTCTGAGTTGATCTGAGCAGACCAAAGTAATTTTCAAGTTCAATGGTTTAAAGCTCTTATGATTGGGTGCTAATGTCTTGATCTCAATAGACAAATTGATCACATTAGCCACTATTTCATGGATTGCTGGATAAAAAAAAAAAGAAGCAAAATAGAGATCTGCTGAGTCTAAGCAATGATGTGATTTAAGTCATCAATAGTTAATAATCATAACTACCTTGCTAGCCTCAGGCCCCAAGCGTTCAATTTCCTCTGCACATAACTTGTTGGCTTCACCCAAAAGCAGCAGCTGCTTGTTCAGGAAAGCCATCTGCTGCTCCATGTTTTCACTATTGTTTAGCTGATGTTGGATAAATCAGGAACACAAATCAAAATTAAACCAACCAAATCAATAAATATGGGCCACATCTAAAATTTGCTTTTAAAAATTGAAATATTCTTCCACTGTAATGGATAGTGTTTTATATCCAGTATTTTTGTCACAAACATGTCTAACCTTGATGGACAGCTGGGTGAGCATGTGTCCCATATTACACACTTTGTTATTGGCTTTCTGCAGCCCTGCTTCCATTTCTCCAACCTTCTTCTGATTCTCCTGCAAATCACTCTGTAAATGATACCACATAAAACAATTAGCCTTTAAAGCAACACCAAGTAACTTTTCCTCTGCGGTCGCCCTACAGGTTGGAAGCGGAATTGTCCATTACTGCTGTCGTAAATAATTTAGCCTACTGCAGCCTACTGTCGCACGCGCATGCACATGCTCTCTGTTTATCCAGCACCGGCTTTGGAATCATGATGACAATTCAAAAGCTACCCGGCTGCTAGGTATCTTACATGTAGTTGTAGTCTACTGTCAAGTACGCTCCACCTATCGGCAATCGCTTGCCGTAAAGCAAGTCAAATTTGTAGTTTTCTTATGTCTCATTTGGACTACAGAAACTCGACCCGATCTGGCAATCTTACATAGCGTGGATATATCAGATAAAAGACCGCAAAGCGGTGGCATAAGTGCATTTCACCATGTCACGACTTGATGAACCACTGAAACGATTTTGAAAACATTATTTTAAGGTAAAAAATCTTACTTAGTGTTGCTTTAACACAGATGTCACACATTCTTTTCTACATTCCAGAAACAAAATGACAAACATTGGCAATTATTGTTGCTGTATTATGAGTGAATAAGAGTAACCATGTAATTATGCATGTCCTATAACCCTATGATCACCTTTAGCTCCTGCATCTTTGAGTAGTAGTCATTCCGCTCTTTCTGTAGCTGCTGGATTTGAGTCTGCAATTGGTTCACAAGAGCCTCCCTGTCTTCCTGTACCCGTCTG